AGGTGTTGCAAAGAGTTGTTACCATTTCAGAAGTAATGAGTACGTTGCTCTTTATGGACAATGTCATTCCTTCCTTCACTATCTCTTTTCATCCTAACATTTTTTTTTGTCCCTTGTGGGGCTTGAACTCTGGACCTGGGTGCTGTCCCTGTGCCCTTGTGCTCAAGGCTAGTACTCTACCACTTTGAACCACAGCACCACTTCTGGTTTTCTGGTGGTTAATTGGAGATGTTACATAGACTTTCCTGCCAGGGCTGGTTTGGACCGGGACCATCAGATCTCAATGTCCTGTGTAGCTAGGATTACAGGCATGAGCCACTGGTGTCGGCCATCCTAACATCTTTTTATTTTTTACTTTTGGCTGTCGGTCGTGGGGCTTGTACTCTGGGCCTGGGCGCTGTTCCTCAGCTCTTCAGCTCAAAGCTAGCACTCTACCACTCCACCACAACGCTACTTCCAGTTTTCAGGTAGTCAATTGGAGAAAAGAATCTTATAGACTTTCCTGCAGGCTGGCTTTGAACCGCCATCCTCAGATCTCAGCCTTCTGAGTAGTTGGGCTTACAGGTGTGAGCCACCAGTGCCTGACCATCCTAACATCTTAATGGGAAAGGTGTGCCACATGGCCCCCATGGAAACACCAACAGTTCCCTAAAGGACTAGCAGTAGAGCACATGTTATACTAGTTGTAATTAGTTTTGGTCTTTTGCTGCATTCTTATGTAACTTGGTGGAAAGTGAGCTGCAGTGTACTCCCCTCGATGTAAAAATGGGAATGACATTATTATTATTAATACCCTGTAGGGTTGCTGCTGGGTTAAATGGGGAAATGTGTGTGAAATGTTTGGACTTGCCCTGACTTTTAGTAAATGTTTGGTGACTGTGAGTTATTAGCCTCTTTATAGCTAAATGTAGTAATTCCCCTAAATGCATGGTGCGTGGGATGGCAGCTCAAAACAAGGGCCTTCAGCATCTGGGATATGTCAGGGTCATGAGCCTTGCATCAGATGAAATGCACGTAATGGAGTTTCTTCACTTGCATACTAAACCAACTTTTTCACTTCCCTGGATCTTATCCTTTTGCTTGCCATACATTTCTGGTACTTTCCAGATTCTTCAGAGTCCATGGTTGGTTTCCAGAAGTTTTAATTTTTAAAGTTGTTATTATAAAGGCGATGTACAGAGGGGTTACAGTTACATAAGTGAGGTAAAGGGTACATTTCTGTTTGGACAATGCCACCCCTTCCCTTGCTGTTACCCAGTCCCCTCCCTCCCACCCTCCCACCCCCCTGCATACTCACCCACAAAGTGTATAGTCCATTTTCAACATAGTGTCTAGTGAGTACCACTGATGCAGGTACTGGTACTCAAGCAAATCTTTCATTTGCTTCTACTCCCTTGCTTCTAGTAATTTTATATGCACTTATCCTGTCTGTCTGGGGATGGGGAATGGGAGGTCTCATGCTGTTGCACCGGCGAGCCTTACCAGCTCCTCCTGTCTCAGCCACCTGAGTGGCTGGGACTACAATAGGCAAGTACCCCTACGCGTGACTTCTTTATAATCACATAGTGTCTTTTTATTATTTTGGTTTTCTGTTTACTGACTCAATCTAAAATGCATATTTGATTGGTGGATAAACTTGGTAATGTTCATCTGAATTTTCTTCACTGGTCTTTTGCCATTTGAATTTAAGTTTCCTTCAGTAGTTTGCAGTTGCATTCACCTTAGCTTTAGGGAATACATGTCATTAACAATTTAATCTGTTTTACTTTGAGCAACGAATTATTGAAACAGGAAAATTAAAAAAAATGGGACCAGGTGCTGGTGGCTCACACCTGTATTTCTAGCTTCTCTGGAGGCTGAGATCTGAGGATCATAGTTCAAAGCCATCCCAGGTAGAAAAGTCCCCAATTAACCACTGAAAAACTGGAAGTGGAGCTGTGACTCAAAGTGGTAGATCACGAGCCTTGAGCAGAAGAGCCCATGGACAGTGCCCAGGCCCTAAGTTGAAGCCCCACAACAACAACAACAAAATTATGGGGTAGTTGCATCATGCATGCATTTAATTTATGAACTTCAGCAAATGAAAGAGTAGGTTTACTGGCATTGTGCTTGAGGAAGATGGTGTCTCTGCCTATCAATGAACATCAATGAGCAGACCTGGGTACATGAGACATTCACATACTTCCCATAGGAATTCAGGTCCTGAAGTGTACCACAACTGCTCCTTGTGCTGCTCACTGGGCTGAGTACAATTCTTATACCGTGAAGGTAAGATTATATTAAGTCACAGGTGGAAATTCCACACCTGAGTTCATGAGACAAGTAGCTGTCAAAACACAGATGTGCTAAAAATATAATATAAATTACCTTCAGGCTATGTATAAAATATACATATGAAACATAAATAAATTTCTTGTGTGGACTTGGGTCTCATCTCTAGGATGTCTCATTATGTATATACAGATCTTCCATAATCTGAAAAAAATTGGAACAGTTCTGATTCTGAGCCAAATGAAAGAATCAGGCATCTATTCCAACCACGAAGTAAAAATAGACTGTGTGAAGTTTACTGAATAGCATATGTGAATTTAGTATTGGTCCAATATAAAGAATTTTCAAATATATTTTTGCTGTATAATTTAATCTCCTGAATGTTATTCCATCTTATTTAAAATTAATCTGCCCAGGAAAACCCTGGTTAAATTAAAAACAAATATTGGAAGCCACTCAGCTGATGTGTAAACAATTTCAGATGTTATAGTCTCAGAGACAAAGTTAGGCAATATGAAAATAGTTCATTAACTTTATATTATAGCAATTTTTTCATGGTCTTAAGCTACATTTTTTGGGGGGAGAGAGTTATTCATTTCTACAGATACCATTGCAGGTGCTGACGATTTTCAACTTCCTGTTTTTTAAAAAATAATTTAAATTTTATTGTAAAGGTGATGTACAGAAGTAAAGGTGATGTACAGTTATATAAGTAATGAGTACATTTTTTTGAACAGTGTTACCCCTTCCCTCATTTTCTTCCACTCCTCTCCAGTCCAGTTCCCCTCTCCCCCAAGTTGTAAAGTTTGTTTCAAACATAGTGTCTAGTTGAGTTTCACTGTTGAATTGGTTCACTCTTTGTCCCACTGTTTCTGTGATTCCCCTTCCCTTCCCCAAATCAGAGAAACATATACAAGACAAAGGGTACAGAAATAAAAAACAGTCACAACAGAGAGTAAGCCAAAGGTAAAAGAAAGAAGAAATAACTGAAAACAGTGCAATAAAAAACCTCTTGTTTCCATCCCTTGGAGTTCATTTCAATAAGCATCATTTCAGATGGTCATATGCATATTGCTATTGAGCCATTGTGCTCCTCTCCTAAGAATATCCTCCTTTGTTCTGTGTGAGAACGTTTAGAGTGCTGTTTAATTAATCATGCACAAATGTAATTATTTTTTTCTATCCATTGGGTTAACTTGTGGATTTATAGACAGATCCTAATTATTACAAATGAGGGAAACCATGCAGCCTGTGTTTCTTTGGGTTTGGTTTACTTTACTTAATATAATTGTTCCAAGTATTTCAATTTCCTTATGAATGGGGCAATGCCATTCAGCATTTCTGATGGAAGCATAGAATTCCATTGTGTATATATGCCACATTTTCTTGAGCTATTCATCTACTGAGGGGCATCTGGATTGGCTCCATATCTTAACTATGGTAAACAATTTTGCAATGAACTGGTGGCATTAGTGTAGGCTGGTTTGTGGTCATTTGGGTAAATGCCCAGGAATGGGATTGCTGGGTCATAGGGAAGCTCTGTTTAGTCTTTTGAGAAATCTCCATATTGCTTTCCAGAGTGGTTGAACCAGTTTACATTCCTACTAACAATGTAGTAGGGTTCCCTTTTGGCCACATCCCCACCAGCATGTTATTGATAGTTTTCTTGATAATGGCCATTCTAACTGGGATGAGGTAGAATCTTCATATTGTTTTTATTTGCATTTTTTTATGGCCAGAGATGTTGAAGAACATTGCTCCATGTGTCTATTGGCCATTCTTATTTCTTATTCAGAGAAGTCTCTTTTTGTCTTTAGCCCATTTTATTGATGGGGTTGTTGTTCCTTTGAGGATTTGTTTTGGGGGGGCTTAATTTTTTTGAGCTCTAAGTATATTTTAGATATGAGGCCCTGATGTGCATCTAGTAAAGATCTTTTCCCAATTGGTGGGCTTTCTGTTTGTCCTACTATGTCCCTTGTCATATAAAGTTCTTCAGTTTAATGCAATCCCATCTATTCAGCCTTTCTTTGATGTGTTGTGTTTCTGGATCTTTACTTAGGACTAATTTCCTCTTTGAAACCCAGATTTCTTTTTTTTTCTTTTTGCAGAGATATCCGGTACTCTATTAAACCCAGGACGTTGTGCATTCTAGGCAGTGTTCTACCACTGACCTACATACATCCTAATCCTCTGGTCCAGACTGTTCCCTGGGTCTTAAAACCAATATCCACTCAGACTACAGTCCATCTGTCTACATGTGGACAGTCCAGAAGAAGGCAAGTAAAATCAATGCAACTATGTTCAAAATTGGATCCTTTCCATTGTGTGTCCAGGATCTTCCATCCCTCTTAGACTCATCATCCCCTCTCCCTATGCTTTGCTCTACCCTTGGGTCAACCTTATTTCTGAGGATGAGTAACAAAGCCCATGAAATTCACCTCCAGTTACCACCAGAAAACTGGAAGTGGCACTGTGGCTCAAAGTGGTAGAGCAGTAGCCTTAAGCTAAGAGCTCAAGGACAGCACCCAGGTTCTGAGTTCAAGTCCCATGACTGACCAAAAAACAAAACCAAAAACCAAAAACCAAAACCCAAAAAAGAACCCTGTTGCTTTAAAGAAAATTTCTGAATTCTTTCACAGATGCCTGGTAGACTCTGAACTTTCAATTCAAAAGGATTAAGCACTATCTGAATAGAATACACATTGGAACACATTACAACTGGGGTTTTCTCAAATATTTTATTGAGGTAACTTTTCCCAATTTTATACACATATATATGCATTTATATGTACTTAGGAAAGCTAAACAATGTTCTAAGGCACTTGGAATTGTGCACAGCAAAGTATCCTATTATATTATACCACTAGATAGAGCACGAGTTTGCTTCTTAAATAACACAAACACCAATATGAAATAAAAAAGATAATACATAGTCTTTCTTTAAGGTTACAATAGTGGAATACATATACATACGTGTGTTTACTGGTAGATATTTATACGTACATACTATAATACAGTACAGATTAAGGACAACATAAAGAAAAAGTGTCAGGCTAATCAGTGTAATAGTTCCAGTTATTTACACACACAGATCTTCTACTGTGTCAGCTGCAGGAAGTGGGAATCATTAAGTTAATTTGATAATGCTCACAGTGAAACCATTTTAATTACTTTAACCAAAATGTGAAATAACAGAAAAATGCCAAGTGTCTATTATTTTAAAAACCACTCTTACATAGAAAACAAAGCCTACCTTGAATTTTTAGTAAGTATTTAACTTGTGAAATTGGTATAGAATGTTTGAACACATTGGCCCATTTCAAAGCCACATGAAAAAAATACTCAAAACAAAACAAAAAACACGAGTGCTTATCTTTGAAGTGAGGAAAGTGGTTTGACCCTCATTTCACTGATTATTTCCCAATAGTAGCTAGTAATGCAGTAGCAACTTCTCATTGTGGAGATGCTCTACAAATGTAAAGATACAGTCCAATCACAAAAGCACCCAGCAAGGGAGAAGCCCTCAGACTGGCAAGTGGCACATATATTCTTATTGGCATTTTAATATACCATAAAATGGACCTGAGGGTGGAGGGTAGAGTAGCATTCTGCCTCGTTGACTCCTTTCAATTTATTCTCGTTAAAAAAAATACTGCTGTTAAAAAAGCTAAGAATTTTAAAGCACCATCTCTAAGTTTACGATTTGACCATCTTTATTAACTCTATGTTACTCTGCCTTGAGGTTTTCCTTTTTAGGATTTTAATATTTCACATAATTACAGTGGCTAACTTAATTCCATTTACCTTACAAGAATTGAAGGTGCATTGATCAATCCGTTTCAGTGACAAAGAGAGACAGAGAAAGCACGCCTCTGTATTTTTAGCACAGTTTAACCTTGCTTCACGTGGGTCAACTCATCTTGCTTTGTGTGTGACCAACTCTGCAACACGAATATGAACGAGCCCACAGTTTATCCACATTTCCATCATAATACAGAATTCATACATCTTCAAAAGGGTGGAACCACAGGACTGTATTTATACAGGAGAATTCAAATCTGTGTATGTGGATTAAGTCCTTCATTAGAAAGACAAATACAAAATTCTTTGAAACTGGGAGGAGTGTGGAGAGGCAATATAACATTATGGGGTGACTTCCAAGAGCATTGAATTGTTTTAGGTGCATTATTATGAGTCACTGTGTTTTAACTCTTGCAATAACCCTGATGATTGACAAGGACTATGACCAATAGGGTAGTTCTGAAGTAAACAAAACATACAAAACACCCAACTGCTTCATGTAGAAAACCTCTCCTTTAAGTATACACAGGCCAAGGGTGAGTCACTACACCTAATGCCCACTATAATTGCCAGGACTGCTCAGTGAAAACTGCATGCAGGCAGAAGACTTGGAAAAGTGATGGTGGTCTGAGAAAAAGCAAGGAGGTGACACAAGGCTTAGGAAGCGGCACTTTTTCCTGCGTTTTCTCAAATGGCAGCAGTTGGTACTCGGGTAGAGGGGTAATACCCTCCAATGGTGGTATGTGAACAAGGAGGAAGGCTTTTAGGTTTGGTTTTCACAATGACTGGGGATGCTGCTGATGGTCAGTCACAGGGGCCTGGGATATTAAATGTTTGCCATGCATGGGGGCATTTCTGTACAACAAAAATCATTCTGATCCAAATGCGGACAGCACCCCACTGAGAAGCACTGATCAACAGTACTTTGCTGATATGTGTAGCTGCGTTAGCAATGTGGCAAGCTAAATGACATTTTTGGTGTGGTGGTAGTGGTTGTGGTGGTGGTGTATGTGTGTGTTCAGCAAATCTTAGCGTAGCTTAAAATGGCCCTTTTTGGTAAAGATATTAGGTGGGAATAGCTATCACAGGATTTGTTTGCCAAAAAATCCAAAGTAGCCAATGGATTCTCTTAATTTGTGAAGACCCCCGACTTCAAAAAAGCATAGGTAGGCTATGCTTCAGCTGATTTCTTGAAATGCTAATGGTAGTTCACAGTTTCTAAGAGTTTAAGTTGGTTGATTATAAAGTAACTGGGAAGTGAAAATGATAATAGTTTGAGGGGTTTCTACTACCTGTGTTCCTACTAACCTTAGTCACTGTAGAGATGCAAATCCCTCTTTGAAAGTTGGGTTTGAACTATGTAGGGATGTGTTTTCTCTCAGGAAGATGTTCTATTGACTGGATGATTTGCTTTTGGCACTCTTCCCTTCTGGCACATAGTTGAATGCTGAAAGTTCATTTTGGTTTCTCACATACATTGTGTGTGTGTGTGTGTGTGTGTGTGTGTGTGTGTGTGTGTGTGTGTGTATTCCACCAGGAAGCACACAGCAAATACTTTGTAATTGAGAGATTAACCAAGGAGCTCAGGGATAGTTTTATAGACAAACGATACTAAAAAGTTTCTTGTATCAACATACTCTAAGGATTTGAGGAAATAAGGATCTGAGCATTTACTTTTAGTATAAAGGTAGGTTTCACATCACTAGAATTTAGGAATGCCTGGACAATTCTGCTATATTGACCTAGATTCATTTCTCTTGTGTTAGCTGAAATCCATCTGACCGGCACTGAGGAAAGTCCCTTATGAAACACACTGCTAGAACCACTTAAAATGCTAACAGGTGGATGAAAGTTCTGAGCAAGAGAGGAAGAAGGGGAAGTTTTCACTGTTAAAATGCACATGCAAGACTTACTTTCTCAATTGTGCATACAGTAGAAACTTTGAAACTTATGTTTGTCTGACTCTATGAAGTATTGATAGGGTATTTATCAAGATATTCAGTACTAATTTTCTCCTCCAAGTGTAAGCTGATATATATATATATATATATATATATATATATTTAACACTACTAAATATTTTTAAGGTGCCAATCAGTACTGAATGAACTGCAGGATGCAAAACCTGGTGAGTTATGGATCTTAAGGATTTAACTCCTTTTGAAATTTGGTGATTTTCTTTTTGAAGGATGGATCCACTGCTTCTATACTTGCTATGACATTCGGAAGAGACTAGTGACTAGCCTTATTCTGACAATAAGAAGATGAAGATGAAACCAGAATGTCAGCCTTCCTGGGTAAGTCAAAGAGATAGATGTGTTTGTTTTTTTCTTCAGTTCTAACAGCTGTTCAAATGCCAGGACAGTTCCCTGAATTCTGTAGACCTCAGTTAAATCCTGTTTGGAATTAACATAGACTACAGTTAGTATATAAAATGCAAGACACTTCAACAGACCAAAAAATATCAAACAAGCTACCTTAACTGAATGATGATCACCAGAGAACTAATTTTTTTGTATTGATTGATAGGGATGCTGATCAAACCCATTTAGCATATTCTTACTGTATTAATATTAAGGAGCTTTCTCCCTGCTCTATTGTTTTTTAAAAGATGGCATTGGTCCCTCTGGTTTTTATACTCTGTCTAGTTCTTTCCTGGCTGAGACATTCCTGGAGAAGGGTTTATTTCCTTCCCTATCTGAGGGATTCAGACTTGGTCTATGTCAGTTTCACATTATATCTCATGTTAGTGAAAACCTGGAATTGGGTTACAACTGCAAGAGGAAGAGAAATCAGGGTTACAAGTATAATAGCTCAGTGAGAGAACATGTGCCAAACAGGAAAACAAAACCAAGTTAACCAATCTAATTTTGCACACAGTCATTTTCTCCATAGAACAGAAGTGTAGTGGCTAGGTTGCAGAAACATTGGTAGTGAGTAGAGGTGTAACTGTAAAATAGGACTGGTCAGGTAGGAAATCAGAACCTTATTCTGTGAAATACAGTTTATCTCATGAGCCTTTAATTCTTGCTATTTTTTTTAAATTAAAGGTTTATTGTAATAAAGTACTTGGTGACCCTAATTATTTAAGCCAGCAGTGGTTAATTTCTTTTTTACTTTTTAAACTTTTCTAACATACAATTTTAAAGCTTTTCTAACATACAATTTTTTCTACACCAAATGGAAGAAAGGTGTGGGTAGTTCATAAACCTAATATATTATGCAAGAAAAAACAACATATTAATATTCAACTTTTTATGCTGAATGAATCTCACTGGAAGGATTAAAAAATTGTATTTTATGCATTACTAGTGGGAAAAGACTGTTCTTTCCATCAACCAAACAGGAAGTTTCTTGACAAGTATCTTGAGTGACAAAATGATGTTAATGTATCACATTTACCATGAAACAGAGCTCTCATGATTAGAAATTGAAAAACTTCAAAGTTTATAAGGATAGAAGAAAAAAGCAAAGAAACACATTCCTTAGTATTTTTCTCAAGACACTAAAACAACAATAAAGTATTATACAAAAGAATATCTGTAAAAATAAACAAGAACAAAATAATTTTTTATAGCTGGAGTGAAACACAAGAACTGGGAATGTAGTTCAGTGGCAGAACTATACTGCAAAACAATGAAACAAAGCAAAAATCCTCAGCCAGAGTCCGACCTATGGGACATGCATACACATTTTTTTTCAAAGCCAAAGAATATCTTTATTAGTGAAATGGTGACACAGAAAGCAGGCTGATTTTATGAATGCATGCAGCTGAGTGCACCAAGAGGTGTAATAATACCAGTTACTTTTCTTCCTTAAAAAATGGTCCTGCCTTTTTATCATAAGTAAATTGGGGCTATTTTTTTAACTTCTAAATAGGAGAATCCAATTTTAAATGGTTCTTCAGAATACTAATGAATGGGGGAGGAAAGCAGGAAGGGAAATATCAATTAACCCAACATTTAAAATGTTTACACTTTGGGACTGAAAGTAAGAAATCATAGTCTTTCCCATTCAGAACTAGAAACAATTCAGAAAATTCTATTCTAGCTTCTAGGAATATTACATATCCTGGGCATTTTAGATAAAAGGGGTACCAAATAATTGCGAGAGAACAATGAAACACAAGCGAGTATTTACAGATTGGTAGAAGTATGTGGAAGCTCTGCTTGGACTGGCAGAGAAGAGGACAATAGCAGAAGGATGCTGGTGTAAACAGTACTGACTGTAGCTCCCTGGGAACCCAGCTGAATGCTCACCTGACTCGTCCTCTTCCATTGAAAGCAAATACTATATTTATAGATACGATCTGCAGGCTCTTCATATACAAGGTAAAGTTTTCCTCACACACAATTTACCCAAATTTACTGTGTTTTTTTTTAAAAAACCCATATGGTTGATTTTAATAGCAGCAACCCAACTTTATATAAATGCAGCATTGAAAAAATACTAGGTCCTTTTCATTGTCCTTCAGAACTAACAGCCAGCAGCACTTATGTGTACCTGGCTTATACAAAGGGTCTCGTGATTGTCGATATGATCTTGCTTAGATCAAATAGAAACTTTTTGACTAGCTGCTTGACTCCAGATACTCAAGATAGGGTAAGCCCAAAAGATTTATTTGTGAAGTCTGTATCAGTTTTATAGGGTTACATTACATCTAACTGTATGCCCTGTCCTGCTATCCTGGTAGAGGGCCGAGTAGGAATAGGTATGTAAAAAATGTCAAGTGAATATAGCTGAGCTATGCAAAGCATGCAACAAAATTTCAATGAGCATGCTTGGTAAGAGTTGGTAGAAGCTTCTTGCATTTAAGAAAAAGAGGCATGAACACATTCAGACATATTTCTGGCAACTGGATTCACTGGCACAACATAAAATAACGGTACTATACTGTACCAACTTAATGGTGAGACAAGAATGTTCTAGCAAGTCTTGAAGGAATCTATATCAGTGGTTAGATTCCCAAATCGCTTAAGTTCTCAAATACCAAATGCCCGCTTCAAAAATACATTTGTGCTTTGCTTTTTCTTCATTAACATAATGAAATATTTTCTTTTTCTTTCTGATTTTCAACTCCCACCCATTGGCAGTGCCCAGCAATTGCAATCTTCATTTTTCTTTAAACTACACACTCCATACCATTTGGCTTTCTGGTATTAGGGAGCCACTGATTGTCTTCTGCTCATTTTCTTTGATGAAAACTCCTGATGAAGAACAGCTCATGTAACCATAGTGTCTGTCCCTTACCATCAATTCACATTCTGGGCAGCAAGGCTAGTTGCACCTTTTCTGTTGCTTACGGACCCCATCTGGGTGATCCAGGAGAAGGATGCTTTCGAACAAAGCTGAGTTCCTTGGCCACAATTAAGCAGAAACACACACATTCACATCTCAGTGCAATATCAGGTTTTTCCAGAAGCAGGGCTTCCAGTAAGGATGATCAATCAATTTCCAAGCAGTCCCATACTTCATTATGGGCGATGGAACCTAGAGCAAAAAACAGTTATGGTGAGTCCTTGGTATGTAGCATGCAGTACAATGCACTGAACAAGGTACGGTCATGTTGATAGGAAAAGCCGCACTAGATGTTCCCTGACAGAATTACTGTGAATAGTTGTTGTCATAACAGAAGACCGTTAGACACATGATGTTGGAGAGCAGAGAGAATCACCTAAAAGATTCCTGGTTGATACTCAGTTCAGAGAGCAAGCCAGACTAAATACTGCTATTTTTGTGGGTCACTTTCTCATTCATATTAAATGGAGTGAGATGTTACACCGATGGCTTTGGTTACACCTAGCCTGCAAATATAAAAGGCAGACAAAAATAGACAACCATTTTGTTAGCTTTAGCATCTTACCATCTCCTGCTGGTGACTCCAAATTAGCTTTTCCACATCTAGATTTGGAAATACTCACTGGGCATTTCTACCAGGATAGTCTACAAGTAACTTATAAAACATGTCAATAACTATACAACTTTAGTTAGCCTCCATTGGTACTTTCTATCTTGTTCAATGGTTTACTGTTTAAAGTATTAACTCCTAGAGTTGCAAGTCCTTTCTCATCTTTGTTCTTCCTTTCCCATGTATCATTAAATCCTGCCAGGACTGCTTGTCAGAACCATTAAAGCCTTCACTGTCTAGTGCTGGCATTACTGTCACAATTTGCTTGCTAGCCAGAGGGCTGGCTTATTTTCCTTCCAAGAGGGTTCTTGAACATTCCTGCATTTGTGCAGCTTGTGCGTTTGAGCACACTGTCTCTTCTAACAATGCAGTTCCCTCACTCCATTTCCCATCTGTGCTTTCATTGTTAAGGTCAAGGTCAAGAGCCGTCTTCTCCAGTATGCTTTCTGTGATCAAGCTCTTCAGCCAGCTCCGTGTTTCCACCTTTAAGCAGCTCTGCTTAACCTCGCCAACCCTGTTTTCAAATTGCTTTCCCTGTCCCAGGCTCCATACCATCCCTAGCCTTTTCATTGTGAAATACAGATCCCACTTGGATTCAGAATTGTATTCTTTCCATTCTTTACAAAATATAGTTGTTTTTTTTTGTTTTGGTTTGGCGCTATGATTTAAAGCTCTTCAGTTTGTTTTCAACATAGTGTCTTGTACATCTCATTGTGACAATGGCTCATCCTGTATCCTTATTTCAGCATTTTGTTATTTCCCTTCTCCTCCCCAAATTAGAAAAATATATACACAGAATGCAGAACATTGGAATCAAATACAGTGACAACAGGGGCTGTACCATGGGGGAAGAACACACAAAGAAACACACAAAAAATCACTTTACAACTTTGCTGGGGGGAGGGGGAAGGTGTTGGAGTGGGAGAGGGGAGGGAGGAGTTGGGGAGTTGGGGGAGAAAAGGGATGGTAGGGGAAAAATAAAGGAGGGGGTAACAATGCTGGATACCTAATGGGATCATTACCTTGTTCATGTAAGTGTAACCCCTCTGAACAGTATCTTTACAATAAAAAATATATATTAAGAAAAAAATAAAGCCCTTCAGAGTGGGGCTTACCATGTTTCTATCACTTCTCTTTAGTATGCAAATGCTAGTCATTAGCTCCCACAATGCTTTGTGTACACATTCTGTCTTCCACTCATCTTTTTTCCCATCTCCAGTTTGCAAGGTCTCATTCTCTGCGGTCCCTAAACTCTCTCATTTTCATCTCTTCAGGAAGCACAGAAGCCAGTTGTGCTTCTGTAGTCTCTGGCACCTGCCAGCTACTTATCACATGCTCTTTGTGCAGGAACTTTGCTGCTAGACCAGGAGAAGATAAGAGAACACCATTCTCATTCACTTTTCCATATTCATGGAAATGTACTATCTGGCACAAGGTTGTTCCTTCCCTTCCCTCCCTTTCCTTCTTCCCTTCCTTCCTTCTTTCCTTCCTTCCTTCCTTCCTTTCCTTCCTTCCTTCCCTTTTTTTTTTTAGCAGTACTGGGAGTTTTGAATTAAGAGTTATTTTATTGCTGGTGTTACTTGAGCCATACCTCCAGTCTTGTTTTTTGTTTTTTTGGTGCTGGTCCTCGGGCTTGAACTTGGGTCCTGGGCATGGTTCCTGAGATTCTTTTGCTCAAGGCTGGTGTTCTAGTACTTGAACCACAGCATACTACTTCTTGCTTTTTCTGGATATTTTATTAGAGATAAGAGTCTCATGGACTTTCCTAGGGGTGGTTTTGAACCTCAATCCTCAGATCTCAGCTTCATGAGTAGCTAGGATTACAGACATGAACCACCAGCACCCAGCTAGTCCTATTTTCTTTTTTTACTAGTTATTTTTAGGATAACATCTTGCTTCCTGCCCAGAAACATGACTGAGCCATGACAGGCTGACTTTTATACTTGTTGTCACTGAAGTTACAGCACATGTTACCATATCTAGCTTCCTTCCAGAAGATAGAATCTTACAGGCTTTTCTGCTCAGGCTAGCCTGGATCAACATGCTCTGCATCTCAGCCTTCCACAAGCTTTGGATGACAGGTGTGAAACACTGTGTCCAGCTATATACTAAGAAGTGGTGTGTTGAACTTTTGTACCTGGGCTGGCCTTGAACCATGATCCTTGCTTTCTTGGTAGGATGACAGGTGTGAGCTTCTGACACCAAGCCATGGTGTATCATTTCTTTTCCCCCACATGATATACATTTACAAAGTGTGACCATGTTAAATTCAAGGAAAACTGAAAGATATAAGAAGAGACCAGATATGACTGGTCCTAAGTTAATTACTGCAGGAGCTGCCTAAGGGGTACATGGGACTTCTCACCTTCTGCTGCATGTTTGACTTCCCAAAAGTTAAAATAAAAAGAATATATATATATAGTGAGCTTTCCCAAACTAGTAAGTTGTGGTTAAAACAGGAGTATGTCCATCAATGCAGTGACATCCTTAGGTAGTGCCCCTCACTCGGGGACACTGTTGTGACACTCGGTCACACAAGCATTGCCTATATTGCAATACATAGATATAATATATTCCCAATGGAGGTGGGAGCCCCAGGATCTCTGATGACACAAGACAAATGCCTTGTACCTGCGAAACACCCCCTCCCCCACCCCATCTAATTTAGCAGTGATTTAGGCCTCTTCAATTTTGCTGAGCTTTGCACACCAAACATTCAATTCCACATCTTCAGATGTTTTTTGGTTCTGGATTCAAGGGTCAGATGTAGGGTAACCTGATACGAGGTGCTTTCTCTTCCTATTGGGAATGTTTATGGGGGGAAAGAAAGTAAATGAAAGATCTGGTTAAGCAAAGAGCAAGTAAAATTGTGCAGGGAAACCCAGCATTTTTCTGGATTGTAGTCTCCTTTTAGATTCACAAACCTAGCATGGACACTATGAAGAGGTTTTTCCTCTTTACAGGCATCATTTGCCCGGGGGTTCTTCCAGAAGATAATTAGCATCTCTGGTTTGCACTAGAAGGAGACAGCAGAGCAGAGAGGTGACCAGTCAGTACTGTAGTTACAATCATGTGCAGACCAAGACTGTACCAACTTATTTTTTAATTTATTTTGTGGTAGTGGGATTAAATTCAGGGCCTTGTGCTTGTCAGGCAAGTGCTCTACCACTTGAGCTGATACCTCCCAGATCTTTTAGTTTGTTCATCAGATAGGGCCTCAAGCTAACTGCCCAGGCTGACCTTGAACTGCCATCTTCTTGTTTATGCATCCTGAATAGCTAGGGTTATAGGGGTGAGCCACCATGCCTGGATTATAGCATCTTTTTATACAGACTGTGCAGATTTGGTCAACACGTGAAATTAGGCATCTTATCTTCATATTCAGCTCTAAAATTTTACAGTTGGAAGTACTAAAATGTGAATTATTATTAAATTTGTTACTATTCAGTGGTTTGCATTCATTTACCTTCTGGAAGGTTTGTCTGTGTGACCGAATGACAAGTTGGCTTTAGGCTTTGTCTGTGGAGCAATAAAGACGTACTCTGCCCTAAGGATAGTTAAACTGTCATCCCCTCTTTTTCCAGAACTTTCTAGAGACTTAAATTTGAAAATACTTACATTTCTTACTCTTAAAACTAGAATGCTTTTCCACCCTTGTGGAACAGAACGTTGAGAGGGAGTGAATGGGATAGGGGGCAAGAAAAAGCTATTTTTTTAAATCACAGAATTCAGATGAGGACAACTATTTTCTTTGTTTCCCCACAAGTTACCAGGAAATATTGACTCATTTTTCTATCCATTCAATCTCATAATAAAAGAGTAAAATTACTCACAAATATAAAACTTCACTTCACTGAACTTTCTTATTTGATATTTACTGAGATCCTCAATAATTCTTTTCCCTTTTCTTTTAAAAAAGTTTCACTACTGTGGCTCATTGGCTTCTATTGAGCAAACCAAGAGTTTCCTAAACATAGCTGAGAACTCAGGCCACGAGCTGCCTGGGCCTGGACCTTCTTAATACTGTGCACAGCTTGCAATATTTTCCAACTCTTCAAGTTTCTGTTGAGGTACAAGTAAATGGGGGTACCCAGGAAAGTCAGTACCACTACCTATCCAGCCTTCTTGCTCCTCTGTGGAGGTCCTTCATGATTTTATACTGCAGTTCCAAGTACAGTCCCTCTGAGACCATTTTCTGATAAACCACACTTACCTAGGTTATCTATAAATCCATAGAGGATGATAATAACTCAACAGGTCAGAGAATAACATCATTGCTGAAGAAACTTCTATGTATGTGTATACGTGTAATAATTTCGCATTTAAAACACATGAAGAGAAAACAGTCTCATGTTTCTACATCTGGAAAGGTAACAAGGTGTGAACAGGGCAAATAGTGACAGCTCCCTCCTATGTTGGCCCTTGCCACCCATTAACCAACCAGGGCAAGCAATGTTATCAGCCTTTTGCATCTTCCAAAGAGACACCAACAAAGGAAGCTATGTATGGGAATACACAGTACTCCTTCATACCTCTCTATGTGGGAGCCCTCTCTGGGAAGTGTTACATGCCTTGAATCTACAGGGAGCATGGAGGTTTAGGGATAGCTTAAACGGTACAAGGCAATAGAGTCTGCCACTAATTAGAAGGCAGTAGAGCTGCTGTGTAGCTAGGTTACATTTAAAGAGCTAGGTTATCCTTCACAGGCTGTTTACATCCCCGCCCCCAACAAGATGTCTGGATCTAAGAGTACTACTGTCTTTTACATGAGCAATAGCTCAGTGCAAAGCATCATCATAATTGTATATTATTTTGATTAGGAACAGTACTCTTTACTCCAAACTTTTTCCTTTTAAAAGAACGACTGAAAACATCTTGAAAAATCATAGCATGATTTTTATATCTCCAGAGCCAAAAATACTTCCCAGATGGAATGCAGTACTAATGATGTCAGATAAATTAATGGAAAATAGCAGTAGACATTTGCTTTATTGCCAAGTTCTGAAGACTACTAAAGGTATGTTTATTTTGGTGATATGAATATTTAATTTTTCCTGATCTAAAAAGACATTTTAAGAGGGCTAATCAATATGTATTTTTTTGGAAATCTTTTGCAGTTTGCCCTTGATATTAGCTGTTATTCCCCAAAGCTTATCTACTTGCATCTATTAATACTTACTTCAATAATGAGGATATCAACACATTATTTTGTGGGACACATTAAGAATAGTCTCAATTTCTCTAATTAATACAGAGAAATAGACATACAATTCTGAAAGCGAAAGAATATCCTATCAGATGTAAAAAGATCATGTACTCTAATTAAATAATATGACACAGGGATGAACGACCCTCTTATTAGAATATAATCAAGGATCCAGGAAACTGGCCCATGTGTATGCTAAAAGAGAATTTTACATCTCGAGGAAGTAAATGGCGTTGAGACAACCAATCATATACAGAGAGTAGAGTTACTTTACTTTTTTGAATATATACAAATAAATGCCCAATGGATAAAATTCCTAAGAGTAAAGAAGCATATATAAAAGTGGAAAATGGTACTTTTATAATTTTGGCCTTCTTCTGTAAGATACAATATGATGTGGTAAAATATAAGAACATAGCTTTTGATATGTAAACAGAAGATCATTAAAACAATTAATAAAGGAGAAAAATACAGTGACATATGTAGTCCAGGGTGAACAGCCATAATATCTAAGGAGGCTTTACTAATCATCTAAAAAAGAAAATCAGATGAAAAAATAAAAAGTGAATGGTTAATAAAATGTGTTGTTCGATCTCATAGAAATCAGTGAGAGTACCATTGTTTATATTGTACACTATCAATTTTTAGAATCTTTCCTTTAGAATGTGAATCTCTCAATCACTCCCCTAACTCAACTGCTAATGAGCCAGCCAGCATGTTCATACACACTGATTCAGTAAACTATGTGCTCTTTTTGGAAGCTAACAGAGTAGTATGTTTAAAGTGTTATACATATCTCCAGATGGGTAGGTAGGTAGGTAGGTAGATAGATAGATAGACAGACAGACAGACAGACAGGTAGACAGAGACAGGCAGACAGATAGACAGATCTCTGCTGAGAATTCCACATAAATACTCACACACCTACACAGATATAGGATAAAATTAAGGTAGCAGTCTTTTGATAATGAAAAGCTAATTTCATGTCATAGTTCATAGTCATGTCATAGTTCAGCAATTTATCAATGATACACTGTTTATATGTGTGAGAGAGGGTGTATATAAAAACGTGTATATACTCAAATGTATACATTTGAAAACAGTCCAGATTTATGATCTGCATCAATATTTTCCCAGTCTTACTTGTGAGAGTGCTACCGTGGGTCTGAAAGAAGTGAAAAGGATTTTTACTTTAAATACTGTAATTAAATATATAAATATGTATATATTTTGTTGTTGTTGTTGTTGTTGTTTTTGGTCATGGGGCCTGAACTCCGCCTGGGTGCTGTCCCTCAGCTCTACAGCTCAAGGCTGGCGCTCTACCACTTGAGCCATAACACCACTTCAAGCTTTTTCTGCTTATGTTATGCTGAGGAATTGAATCCAGGGCCTCGTGCATGCAAGGTAAGCACTCTACCACTGAGCCACCTTCCTAGCCCCTAAATATATTATTTTGTATGTAAACATACATGTGTAAAAGAAATGTCTCTGATTCCTACCTATCACCTAATTTTGTTGTATTTGTTCATAGACAGAAACAGTCAAAAAAGGCCTCTTTCAGGATAAATATCTCCTTTTCATGAAATGAGAACTTTCATAGCAATACATTGTTTTTAAATTGATTCTTTGCTGCTGCAATTTATTCTCACATCATGCTATCAAATGGAAACATGGTTATCAGAGACCCTGATTTCCAGGAAGGCAATGCAGAAGTAAATGTCCTGAATCACAGAGTAGGTGGAGTGGAGCCCCAGCAGCTCTGGGATCAGGACACAAGGATACAGACACTTGCCATTTTCTCAATTGCCTGGAGGCCCCGACCAGTTCCGTCACCATAAATATCCTGCTGCCTCGTTCTGATTTACTTCACTGAATAGTGCAACCTTAGGTGTCACATATTAGAAAGAACTTTCCCCTGACCCACAAATGTTAGCAAGAATAGAAGTCTGGCTTGACAGGGCATGTGAGTGATCCAAGAGTAGATTATGATGGGATAAAGCCCTCAGTAAGAGAAAAATGATACCTTCTGGTTGGTGGAAGCCCTGCTTGCAAATACAAACCAACAGCTAGGCTCTGGTGGTTCCCGTGTCTAATCACAACGGCTCAAAAGTCTGAGATCTGAGGATCCTGATTCAAAGCTAGCCCATGAGCCTCTTCTCTCCAATTAACCAGCCCCAAAAACTCAGAACCGGAGGTGTAACTCAAGTGGTATGAGTGCCAGCTTGAGAGAACACAACAAAACAACAAATAAGAGCATAAGGCGAGGCCCTGAGTTCAAGCACTAGTATTAGCAAAAAGGAAAAAAAAATACAAACAAGTTATAGAGAAAACAAACAGATGAAGAAAGAATATGCCTAAGATAAAGAGGTTTTATCTGTGTGCCGGGAATAGCTAGGGAGCATATTGTAATTACAGAGGCCTGCTGTGGAGTTTATAGATGGAGTCTGCTGTTATCTAATGTTGGACTACTTGCTTTACCCATGATGACTTGCAGTTCCATATAGACCATTCCAGGAACCACTCCAAGGTCAGGTGAACCACATGCATGGGGCTGTCCTAGAGGCCACCTCTAGCTTAGGCATCAGTATTGGTTTTCTGAGAAGACATAGCATGGTCTTCCTCTTCTTGTGATCACTTGTGTTGGTATTATTTTTATCAATTTAATTTCTTTTTTTTTTTTTTGCTTATGTGGTGCTGAGGAATCAAACCCAGGGCCTCAGGCATGCGAGGCAAGCGCTCTACCACTGAGCCACCTTCCCAGCCCCTATCAATTTAATTTCTAAAGATCTGATTTCTGTGCACATTTCTAGGAACCTTCCTGTTATGATACAGTAAAGCACATACACCTGTGAGACTGAAATAAACAGAACAGCTGTCGAATGTGTTGGGGTGGGGGGAGGAGGGAAAGCAGACAATGTGATCGCTCAAGTCCTTTCTGGTTTTAGTACCAAAGCATGCTGGGAGGAAAAACAGCACGTTTATGAGTTGCTATGGTTATGATCTGAAGTGTCTTGTAAAGATTCATGTATTAAAAGTGTTTGTCTTCAGCTTGGCCCTATTAGGAGAACTTGAAGGAGGGGGCCTAATGGAAAGACTTTCGGTCATCGAAGTTGTACCCTAGAGAGGGGTTGTAGGCTTAGTCTCTTCCTCTTCCTCTCACAAGGTGAGTGGTTTTGCTGTTTATTGCTACCATGTGGTGCTGTCTCACCACAGGCCCCAAAGCAACAAGGCCAACTAACCATGGGCCAGAACCTCTAATGCTGTAAGCTCAAACAAATGCTTTTCTCTGTCTACTATTTATCTCAGGTGTTTGCTACTGTCACAGATCATTTGAGTAACAGCATAGTGCGTTGTGGTACTGGTAAAAACTTGATTCCTATTTTAAGTTGCATCCTGTGAAAAGTCCATTTCCATCCTAAGTTCTGTCTGCCGAGCTCAGAGCAAAAACATAAACACCCATGGTAATGATTACCAATATCTGTTCTGGGCACAGAACTTCAAGTTCAGTGACATAGATGATTATCATATAATTAAATAAAATTATCTTTTCTCACCGATATCATTGACTTAGGTTACTGGTAAAAGGAAATAAGGATGAATGTCTATTAGGTAGTTCTGTTAAACAGTTTTCAAAGTCTTAATTGTGACAAGTTAGACTTACTACAAAAAGTACCATATCAAAGCCTTTTCATTGCATCTTATCTACCTACCTTGTAAACTGCCGACTCTCTTCGTGAACTTCCATTTCTGTGCTTTTAAATTCATTTAGTTCTTTCCTTATTGCTGCCTACACAGAGGGGAAAAAAAGACAAGTAGAATGATTATGTAGGTCGTGTATTTCCTGAGTCTACACACCATTAGTGAAGCAGAATTTTTTTTAAAAGAAATGTCTGAGAATAGGATTCCTAATTTCTACCAGGTAATAAATACAATATATTACAAGTTGGGCACCTCCAATCTGAAAACCTGAAATTAGAAATGCACCAGAATCTGGAATTTTTTGAGTGCTAATATGAGGTCACAAGTGGAAAATTCCACATGTGCCCTCATACAGCTGTTGCAAGGTGAAGGTACAGTAAATAATGCTGTGGAAAAATGATCTTCCGGCTATGCATATAAGGTATACATAAAACACAAATGAACTTGCTTATACTGTCCTGGGGATCAGATCCAGGACCAGTCATTCCAGGTAAGTGCTCTACCACTGAGCTACACCCCTAGCCCCATACAAGAATTTTGGGCTCAGACTTAGCTCTCATCCCCACATCCCATTATGTGTATGCAAATATACCCAAATCTGAAAATTATCCCCTATCGGCAACCCTTTCAGGTGAGGGTGAATCAAGGTGTAAAGCCAAACTAAAAACTCCTTTGAACAACTAACCTATGCTTTTACAAGGTGAAAACTAGAACCTTGTGGTATTGAGGGAGAGGGCAGGGAGGTCAAGGGAGATGGGTAGGTGAAGGGAGCGAGGAAGGGGTGGGCAAATGCAGGCAGCATATTCAATGTATATATGTAATAAGTGGGAGAATTGAAGGAATGGGTGGGGTTGGGACAGCTGGGGGAGAAAGATGAAAAGGAGGTGACACAGATTAAGAGACATAGTACTCATAAACGGACATGTTGAGCTGTGACCCCTGAGTACAACAACTTAAAAGATAATCAAAAAATAAAATCAGGATAGATTGCTTTCAGTAGTCTTTCACAAGGAGCAGAGAAGGCTAGACTCCTGGTCTGGATTTACTCACCTCCCTCTCTCCCCTGCCACCTCCACGAGCCTAAGAAATTTTAGGGCAGGAGCTTTCCATGAAACAATATTATGTTCCCAGGAAACTTCTTCATTTGGTCCCACCAAAACAACATGGCTTTTGACTAGCTGCCGCAAAGCTACTAGAAAAGCAGTCGCAATTTATTCTTTAATATTGGAAGTCTAAACAGACAGAACTTAAAATTTCAGTCCTTCACTTAAAGCTACCCAAGGAAAACATCAAATAGGATGCCTTCATATTTAAAGAACACATGACTCGTACCATGTAAATTTTATGACCACAAAGAGATGCCTATGCTGCTGTTCAGAATGAGAAGCTGACACATTCAGCCACACATTAATCTTAGTGACCTATTAACAAATAGTGGCAGGATCATGCATAGCTTTTGGTTTCAGTTTTTGGCTTATTTTAAATATGTGTGTGTCTTTGGGTGTATACACATACAAATATGTATATGTGTCTTATGTATACCTATATAAATCCTGACTGAGAAAGCCTTCTTCCAGGTTTGACTACGTAATTAAAGACTAAGTAATTAAAAACTAGCTTTTCTCTGAGACTTAGCTACAGAACTACACTGGCATTATAAATACTATCACTGAATTGGCTTCCATGGTCAGAGGCAGAAAAGTGCTAGAATATTGGGTGAGATCTGCAATGCGGAGGGTGATCAGGTGGAAGGTGAGTAAGGAACTTGGGAGAAAGTAGTGCAATCAATGAGATGGCCACTGGAATGCTTGCCTTGTCTGCAGGTGTCAACCTGGCCCAGGGCTTGTCTGCCCGGCGGTCATAGTCAGGAGAATCGGTGACTTCCACATACTCATTAAATCTCAGGATCCTTCGAGCTTGGAGCTCCGCCACCGTGGGTCTCAGACTGAGCTGCAGGAGGGTGGGTGGAAAAGATACATCAGTAAAACTGTTTATAGTCTTGTGGTGGCAAGTTTTTTCTTTTTTTCTTTTTTAACAGACAACACTTTAAAGTTATGGTTAAATAAGGTCACTTTCAAAAAAAAAAGGCAGTGGTGTCTTGGGAATTTGTAACGAGAACTAGAAAGCAGCGTGCCCTCATTTTTAAGACTATAAAAATCGTCGTCGTTAGATAGGTCACCGTGTTTGGCAGTAACCATCTACGTTATGTTATTTTCCTGCCAGCGCTGAGATCAAGGCCTGGCTGTCATCCCTAACACAGGCACACACAGTGACCCACACACAGCAGCACGCCTGCTCCAGCGTGGCTGAATGATCAAGAAAAAAACTGTGAAACTTTTAGAAACATGAATTAATTCGCGTCCCAATCCTCATCCATGAAAGCTGTCCACTCAGAAATGTCTTTTAAGACCTAGAAAGGTCTAGCAAGGGTGAGCCCGCAGCCTTCCTTGCCAGCAAAACAAGGATCCAGGACCCATGCTGGCAATGACCTTTAGCTCGCAAAGTCAACTTGCAGGACAGGAGAATGGGATAAGGAGGAAGAGTTGCTGGAGAACCATACCTCCTTGCCAACTTTCTGATACTCAGACCACTAGGGTTTATTCTTGTGGCCTTTGTCCCAATGCAATTTCTCATTATATTGAATCTAGCCAGTCCTTTGCTTTCCTTTCTTCGGCTAGTCTCAAGTTCAAAAGAGCCAACACAATTATGAGGACTGAAAGCAAGATAGCCTCCTTGGTCGACAGGCATCAACGTGCCCTGCTATGTCAGAGTACCTCCTCCTGGCCCTCCTCATTTGAGATGTCCAGGAGTATGTACACACAGGTGGACAGACTTCTCTTTTACCCACAGGGCCCACACGTGCGTGTGCACTCACACACACAATATCCAGGCAAACTATTTCCTTTTTAGAGGAGATAGTAATTTGTATTTGCATGGGCTCAGAGATAGATGGTACATTGTGCATACATGCTCAGTAGTCAAAAGCAGTCTCTTTCTTGGTCCTCAGTCTACTCCTGAGTAAAACCAGAGTGAAGCAAAGTCAACACTCTACTATTCAAACCATTCCAATCCAAGGATTCCCAGAAGCCTGAATCTGTACCTGGAGCCCACCTAAGCGGGGCTAGGGTAACTTCAGCCCTTTCTGCCTTTCCAGAGCCCTGGTAGCTAGGCAACCTAAGTATTCTGTTATATTCTTAGATGCTACCCATTCTATACTGCTGGATCCTTGCTGCATCTCTTGGGCAAGTGGAAATAAGGAGTAGCAAGGAGAGAAATCCTTGTGCTTTAAGGTCTGGCCAGGTGGCAGCGCCACCGGTCAGTGGCCACTGATTTCTGATCTGATAACAGATCAGAAATGCTCCACCTAGTCTTCCCTTCAGAACTATGCCAGCCATAGGGTAGATGCCAGTGCTATAGATTCACATGCGTCATGGCAGGGAGGGCTCAACGGTGGGACAAGTAGGAGCAAGGGAGAAACAACAGGCACTGTTGAGTCATGGAGGAGCCCAAGTGGGTTGGGGAAAAGCTCAATGCACCCCAGGAGTGCCTCTGGAGCCAGGCAGAAGAGTACTGATGATGCAAAGTCCCAGCTAGCCCTCAAAGATGTGGGTCAGGCCCTGGAAGCTGCGAAGTCCCAGCTAGCCCTCAAAAATGTGGGTTAGGCCCCGCATGCTTGACTCTGGTTGTATTTTAGTCACCCCACCCTTTTTTCCCCCCCAGGAATGAAAGGTATATCTGAAGAATTACTGCAAGGATTTATAATGAAATTTAAAGACTGATAGTGCTTTATTTTTTCCAAAAGAATATTCTTTTGGCAGGGCTCTGGATGAGATTTATATTTTCATACAATGTGGAAACAATTGTCTGAGCAAATTTGTCAATTTGGGTAGCTGTGTGGCAGCCAAACTGGCTGATCAAGCTCACTTAATAAATTACTCCCACTTCTGATAGTGGTAAATCTTCAGTAGTCACAGGGTATTTATTTAATTTATCCGAGACTAAATGGAAAACGAGAACAGTGTAAAAGTTACTTTTTAAAAATGGAAATATATTTATATGTATTGAAATTTTAATAATTGTTCTCTGAATGGAAGATTTTTGGTGGTATTTTTTGTTTATTTTTATATTTTTAAAGATTTTCACACAATGCATGAAAATCTTTTGAGTAATAACTTTCCACAGTTAACATAACATGCAAATAAAAAAAGGAACAGTTGTTTTGTTTATTTTTTAATGACTATGATTCTGTAGTAGTCACATAAGAATAATTATGCCTAAGTATTACATTCACATATAAAGTGCAAATTTAAACAAATCAACAAAGTTTATTTCAGAGCATTCAGAATGGCATTACCTTCCGGCTAAGTCTACGTTTAAGTTCCATTTTTGCTTCTTGCTCCTCTTCTTCATTCTTTTCTGTTTGTTTTTGGAGAAAAAGCACAACAACTTAATTACTAGAGAGAAATTTCATCATCAGAAATGCCCATCAGATCACAGGTACTTGATTCTAATACTTATCAAACACCCTGTTAATGTCTTTAAAAGTTATTGTTAAGAGCTGGGTGGCTCATGTCTGTAATTCTAGCTTCTCGGAAGGGTGCTAGCTGAGAATATTGGTCCAAAGCCAGCCTAGGCTGAAAAGCTCTCTTTTCCAATTAACTAGAAAAATGCCAGACTGGAGGCAAGGCTCAAGGGGTAGGACACCAGTTGAGCAAAACAGCTGAGTATGAGGCTCTGAGTTCAAATCCAAGTACTGCCAAAAAAAAATGTTATCTAACCAGATTGTTCCCCTAAAGTTATGACAATGATAAGATCCAAAACTGGGATACTGACAGCCAGGCCACACCTGTAACTGGGAATGTCTAGGTGAACCTTTCACTCCTTGCTTCTGGTTCTTTGTCTGTTTAAACCTATAGCTCATGTCTGTACCCTGAAGATGAATGACAATGGGCTCTACTGATTACCTCTTACTAGCGCTGCCCCTGTTGTGTAATAAATCTGCCTTTCAAAAAAAAACTAGATTATGAAGACTTTGCAAAGCCAGGTGGTAGTATGCATGACTGTGATCCCAGGTACACAGAAAGTGAGAAGGAGATAGGGTTGTAGTCTAGGACCCACCCTTGGCAAAAGCACAAGACCCTATCCATAAAAATAATGAGAGCAAAAAGGGTTTGAAGCGTGGCTCAAGTGGTAGAGCACTTGGCTAGCGAATGTAAGACAAGATTTCCCAGAAAGGTCAGTCAGTCATGTTTGTACATGTAAATCCTTTCTATAAGTGTGTGTGTAAGCGTGTAAGTGTGTGTGTGTGTGTGTGTGTACACATGCGGTGACTTTGCCTTCTTGCATGATTGTTTTATTTTAGTAATTTTAAATCTTTCTGTTTCCTGACTGCCTGCTGTATTCTGAATAAAGATGGACAAGAGACTGTCCATATACTGTTCAAAGATGTTTATTGGTGATCATCGCATGGGCTTTACAGGCACGATTTACCAGAATTCAGATGAAATTTTACTTGGGGATCTGGCCTGCATGTGAAGAATATGAGACATATTAAAAGAGCTAAAAGAGCAAATGAGAACCATCCGATGCATGTCTGAGCTGCTGAGTTCCATTCAAACCCAACCAAAATATTTGATTTGTCTTCCTTGGTTCCCATAGAAGCCGAATGTAAACATTTCTTTGAATTTGGCTTTGAAACCAGAATGTTCTGAATGGGGTTATGGTGTACTGTGGGTAGAAATTATTTATTTTCTTGTGACTTTAACTTTCCTAAGTCTTCTTTTTCCTTAGTGCTTCACCAAGTTGTACAATTGGGTGCTGTGCAACAGATGGAATTTTAAAAAAGGAAACAAACACCCCTTCAGGTTTTATTGGTTGCTTAGTTGAAGAACGTGTGTACGTTGCTTCTTGTACCTTTTCTGTTCTATAAAGTGAGGATAGACTTTAATTCTTAAGATACCAATGCTTATGCAAATTATCTTCCAGTGTGGCGAGGAACTTTACTGAGGGGAAATCATGCTGTGGAAGGGATTAATGAAAGAAAAATCTTTTCTATGGCAAGATAATTATAAGTATTTTAAAAATTCAAGTAATGCAGGGGTGCAAATGATTAAAATACACCACAGGACAAGAGGCAGATGACGTGTCACACAGTGTGTCACACACACTTGTTTATAATTTAGATTTTGTTTGTTTTGACACAGGGTCTTACAATATAGCCCAGGCTGACCATAGAAACAGGTTCTCCAGCCTTAGCCTCCCTAGTACTGGCCCCACAGGTGTGAGGCAATGCACCTGATCTCAGATTTTTCCATGTGTGTGTGTGTGTGTGTGTGTGTGTGTGTGTGTGTGTATTTGTCTTTTCACACCCTTCAATATATGATCAAGATTCAAGTAATTGCCATATATGAATTAGACAAAGCTTGTAGATGGTTAGGTTTACATAATGGATAAATGCCAAAATTGGGGTTTATATGATTAAAACTGGACGGTGGGGATATTAATAATAAAAAAATCACTGAAACATTTTAGTTAATTCTTTCTGTACAGCTGTTATGCTGGGTTTGTTTATTTTTGCAGTCATGGGGCTTGAGCTCAGGTCTGGGGTGATGCCCTTGAGCTTTTACTTTTTTTTAATTTTAATTTTAATTTTTTGTGAACATACTGTCCAGAGGGGTTACAATTACATGGGCAAGATAATGAGTACATTTCTTATTAAGCATTGCAGCCTCCTCCTTTGTTTGTTGAGCTTTTTCATTCAAAGCTAGTGTTCTACCACTTTGAGCCACAGCTCTACTTCTGGTTAATTGGAGATAAAAGTTTTTCTGCCCAGGCTGGCTTTGAACCATGATCCATTGATCTCAGCCTCCTGAGTACGTAAGATTTCTGCCTGGGCACCTGGGTGTTATGCTGTATTTTAAGGGTAATTTCAAACAAAACAAGTTAGATATCTAATATATTCCAAAGATAACACATGTTACATTGTTCATTTCTGCAAAGGGAATATAGTTTTGCCTTATTAAGCCATTGTTCAACCAGGTGACAGCCAGTGACCTTTCAAAACAGAAGGGTCAACTGCAGTAGGGAGTTGAGTTCCTTATATTTCTCATGTTCAAAACCATACTTCTAAGAAAGATAGAGGAAGAGAGATAAGGTGGATAGAAGCCCCCGAGATGGCTCCTTGGCATCTTATTAAAGAACAAATATAACATATAACAAATATAACAGTCAAGGTTCAGCAGTATCAACAGTGGGAGTTCTATTCTATTCATTAATGTGTGGTCAGCATGTATGTATTTTGGTGGTATTTGGGTTTGAACTCAGGGCTTGGATTTGAGACAGGTGCTTTATCATTTACACAGCACCCTAGCACTGTATTATATATTCCTGAGTTATCAATTTGGATAAAAATGGATTTAAAAGAGCCACATATGTATGTATATGTGTAAACATGGCAGTACCAGGGCTTGAATCCAGGGCCACACCCTTGTTAGATATTCTCTCTACTCCTTTACCATATCCTCAGCTCTTTTCCTTTCTTTGTTTTTTTTTTTGCTTCAGATACTTTTTGGATAAGATCTTTTATTTTCCCCCTGGGCTAATCTTGAACTAATGTTCCTACCTATGCATCCTACATAGCCAGGATTGCAGGAAATAGCCACCATTCCCAGCTTTTTGGTTGAGATAGGATTTCAGACTTTTGCCTTGTGCTACCATGATGACATGAAGTATTTTTTGAGGGTACATGTTCTACACGTACCCAGGTGGATATTTTCAACAAATGTAAACACACGTGTAAGTCAACATCTATGTATTGACAAAATCTGGATCAACATATGGTTAGTCAGATGTTGAAGCAAGCAGTCAACAGATAATAGATGGCAGACATATTGATGTTCATTGTAAAACTCCAACTTTTCTGCATGTTTAAAACATTTCAAGTTGCGTATGGTATCACATACCTGAATCTCAGCAGTGGGAAGGCTGAGGCTGGAGGAACAGGAGGTTCAAGGCCAGCTTGGGCTATAATAGTGAGTTCAAGGACAACCTCAGCTCTATCAACATAGAGAACTCAAGCTAGGAGGACATTCACAACTAAATATTGTAAGGGAACCTACATTTTATCTCAATCTCTGAAATGGAAGACATTCCATAAACACTACTTGTATTGTTTAGCAGAAGTTGACCTTTCAAGCATCAAATCCTTATTTTTTACATGCCTTCTCCTTTTTCTCTTCCTCCTTCCCCCTCTCCTTCTTGTTGGTTGTGGGGCTTGAACTCAGGACCTGAGCCCTGTCCCTGAGCTCTTTCATTCAAAGCTAGCGCTCTATGACTTTGGGCCACAGCTCCTCGTCTGGTTTTCTGGCAGATAATTAGAGATAAAGAGTCTCATAGACTTTCCTGCCCAAACTGGCTTTGAACTGTGATCCTCACATCTCAGCCTCCTGAGTAGCTAGGATTAAAGATGTGAGCCACCAATACCTGGTGGTCCTTTTAAAGTCTTACTTTGAAGGAACTAGTTCTAAAATGCACAATGAGATATACCTTAGTACATCTATATTTTTTAATAAACTATAGTGACACCAAAATAAGAACAAAATCAAGTAAAGAGTAAAGATAGAAACACAGTTTGTGCCACGGTTCCCACTGAAAGCTACAGCTGTCCTTCCTTCCTTCTTTCTTTCTTTCTTTCCTTCCTTCCTTCCTCCCTTCCTTCCTGCCTCCCTCCCTCCCTCCCTTCCTTCCTTCCTTTCAATTTTTACTGTTTATTAAAGCAGGGATAGGTTCTGATTGAGAACTGTTGAATGAAACTAAGAAACTGTGACTCAGTTAGTCTGTAATAAAAAGATCACCCACTGGAAAAAAAACCTGGCCCTAAAAACTATATCTTATCACACATTAATTTTCTCCAGATAGACAATTATGCTGTTCTAAACAAAAACATGATTATGTGGGAAAATCAAAGCCAGAGGGGCTGAGTGAAGTGTTCGTCAGCTACACCATTCAGCTCCCTGCGCTGTAGGGTGGGAAGCCGGGGCAGGGGGACGGAGGATGTGGGGAGCCAGGAGAGTCTCCACCATAGTCTGCTTGCCTTGGCCAGGCAGTCTTGTGTCAGGAGATCACAAGCCATTATCAGAGTCTCCAGACTGGAAACATGTCTTCGTTTCCAGAATCAACATGAACTTAGAAGGAAGTACATAAAGTGTTGGAGTCAAATCTGAAGTTGACTTTGGTATTTCACTCTTTCCCAAACCTCCAGGAAAACAGAGGGTACAAAAGCCAACACAGCACTTAAGATCAACATGTAATAAATTTCCGGATCCCTGACACAGTTCCTCAAATAACCAAACTCCAGTGTGGTTTGGCACATTCATCTCACAGGAGCAAGAGAGAATTATCCAGAAATTTTTCTGTCTCTCTTCCCCTCCTCCCCACAACCCCACCTAAGGATTGCATCAGGCATCCAAGAAGACATAATCTCTGAGTTTTAGGAACTTTTAGAGTCTGCATTGAAGTCAACTTAAAATTCAACAGATATGCCCCAGGAATCTGTGATTGAAAGCAATGAAAATTTGGGGTTTTGTGATCAAAATGAGATGTTGCTATCAACAACCCTCAGAAAAACTAAGGCAAAAATTTACTTCTTTTCTAGCCATGACTCCCCCCCCTTTCAAATGGACACTCACACATTTCTAGGCACTCAAGTCCTTTCTTGGGTTCTACTACAGTGATACAAATGGTCAGGGAAAAAAAAGCATTGTTAAGGACAAAGATCTCACAGACTGCATTCCATTTACAGTTAAATCTTCATTGTTGGTTGCTTTAGTTATGACAACTGTAGTCTAAATATCCTAGGAAAATCTTTCTTTCCTTCAGGAAAGAAAATAACTCAGGCTGAAGAGCTAGGGTCATCAGCAGGCCAACTCCAAGCCAGGCTGGAAAGATCGCTCCCCTCTTCCCCCACCCCCCCAAGGCTTATTTCTATGTAGTACTCTCCCAGATCTGCTTATTTCTGTTCTTTGATATTTCATGCACTAAAAAGCTCTTTTGAAACTGGATTAATACATAAAAGTACAGTAAGGTTCTACTTAAAAAAATGTCCATTTCTTGCTGAAGTCAGTTAACATTTCTGATAAATAACAGCAGGGGGGAAAAACCCTTGGATTTCTATGTGGGTTTTCCATACAGCCCTGGCAAAGAGACTAGAAGAAAAAATAGAATGGAAAAAATCAAGTAGGAAAAAATGAGCTGAAGAACCAAAGAACTGTAAGTGAAAGGGACACAGAATGATCACAAATAAGAAAATGAAATATATTGAAAAATGTTTACCATAATGTTGTGTTAAATTGAGTAGTTTGTCCAACTTAGCAACAAACTTTTGTGATTAATAATAATATAGGGATGTCTGATTTCCTGTGGAGTCTTTGACATTTATTTGCAAGTAGACGAGCATTTTCTTAAATATGTGGGTGAAAGAAAACTAGGGAATATATTTCATCTTTCTCAAAAATAATTGTTAAACAGCTGTAGTCTGGGGATAGATGACACTATGAAATATTTTTTTTCTGGTACTCAGGGCCTGGGTGCTGTCCCTTAGAATTTTTGCTCAAGGCTTCCACACTACCACTTGAGCTACAATTCTATGTCCAGCTTTTTGCTGGTTACTTGGAGATGAGTCTCATAGCCTTTCCTATTCAGACTGGCTTTGAACCTTGATTGTCGTATCTCAGCCTCCTGAATAGTTAGGATTACAGGTGTGAGCGACAAGTACCCAGCAAGAAATTATTTTTAAATAACAAACAACTATATATATATATATATAGCTATAATGTAAATGGACCATTCCAGTCAGTTATGACTGAAAGCTGGCCTAGCTGTGAGGTGGCATGTTTATGGCCCCACGAGGCAGTGCATACCAAGGACACTCACGTTTTAGGATATTTCTTTGCTCTAATTCTTCAGTGGTTGGCCTCTGGCTGAGTCTCCTATAATGACAAAAAGAAGAGTTTACAAACAAAGCTTCTTTAGTGGGAAATACCAAATCAAACAATAAAGCCAGACCCGTTCATTAAATACACAAACTTCCTTCCTTAGCATCATTTTGGTAACTCCAGATTGTGGCTTGGAAGGCCAGCAATCCCCACGCTCCATTCTATTTCTTTCTCTTTGAGACAGAACTGTGTGTCTATCACTTGGGACCTGGCTACAGACCTCAGCCTCCCCAGTAGCCAAGCAGATGGTGTAATGGTTTTTTTTTTTTTTTGGTCTGGTCATGGGGCCTGAACTCTGGGCCTGAGCACTGTCCCTCAACTCTTCAGCTCAAGGCTAGCACTCTACCACTTGAGCCACAGCACCACTTCCGGCTTTTTTCTTTTTGCATATGTGGTGCTGAGGAATCGAACCCAGGGCCTCAGGCATGCAAGGCAAGTGCTCTACCACTGAGCCAACTTCCCAGCCCCTGGTGTAATGGTTTTTACAGTGGCATGTGAGAAGAGTTGCATTTTAAGTTCTGCTTGTTACCCTTCAAATGAATGAGTGGCTGGGCGCTGGTGGCTCACGCCTGTAATCCTAGCTACTCAGCTCCTGAGATCTGAGGGCTGCAGTTTGGAGCCAGCTGGGGAAGGAAAGACTCTTATCTCCTCTAATCTACAAAAAACAAAAAAACAAAAACTTGAAGTGGAGTTCTGGCTCAAGTGGTAGAGTGCTAGCCTGGAGCAAAAGAAGCTCAGGGACAGTGCCCAGGCCCTGAGTTCAAGCTCCAGGATGGCACAAAAAAATGACTTGAGTGTAATCTCTTCATTCCCTTTCCTTTTCAAGCCATACATGCAGTTGGGACTATCCAAGGGACGACGACATCATCATCATCATCATCATCATCATCATCATCATCATCATCATCATGATATGTTGGCAGTACTGGCATTTGAACTCAGAGCCTTGTATTTGCTAGACCGGCATATTCTGCAACTTGAGCCACACTTATAGCCTTGTTTTGCTTTATTTTTCCAGGAAGAGTCTCAAGGTTTTTGCTTAGGGCTGGGCTTGGACCACGATCCTCCTACTTATATCTCCTGTATATTTTGGATTACAAGTGAGATCTACTACTGCCAACTTGTTTGTTGTGATAAAGACTCCCTAACTTTTTACCTAGGGTGGCCTCTAATCTTAGTCCTCCCAAGTGGTCGAGATTACAGGCATGATTCACTGTGTCCAGCCTGCCATTCTTCTTTTTATTTTTTCTGATTGTGGGGCTTGAACTCGGGGCCTGGGCACTGTCCCTGAGGCTCTTTGTGCTCAAGGCTAGCACTCTACCACTTGAGCCATAGCACCACTTGTGGTTTTTGAGTGCTTAACTGGAGATGAGGGTCTCATGAGGATTTTTCTACCTGGGCTGACTTCAAACCACCATCCTCAGAGCTCAGCCTCCTGAGTAGCTAGGATTACAGGCATGAGCCATCGGCCTGTAGACATTATTCTTGTATATAAATACCATTCAGTGATTTAATTTCTCCATAGCAAAACAAACAATAGCAATAAAACAAACACTCCAACAAATCCTATAAGCACATATTCTCTTAGATAGTATAAAAAGTACAAAGCAGGAAACACAATAAGAGAGAGATTAGGCAGAAATCCCATGAACAGTAATTCTAATCTGGTTTTGCTACGAAGAAACTATGTGGCCTTCAGAAATCTTCTTCCTCTCCTTGAGCTAGTAAACTGCACCAGAGACCATCTCGTCAGCCAAACCTAGCATACGCACTAACTGATCCTCTGTAGAAAGTTTGTTGGGCCTAGCCTGAGCGAGACCTTTAGAGATCTCAAAGCCACTGGCTGGCAGAGAATTCACACCTCAAAAGGGGACGGGTTTTTGATTGATTCACCATACAAAACTAACTTTAAAAGACCAGATGGGCTGCTATGTCCGTAACTTCCCCCAAATTCACATTGATCTCAGGTAGGTTGTACACTTCAGGAGGGAGGCAGGTACAAATCAGTCAGTCCTGCTTACCACACCAGCAATTACCTGACCAGCTTGGTTCCGATTTGATGCCGGATTTCCTGCCTCTCTTCTTCAGATGTACGCTGTAAGATGTTTTTGTCTTCTAACTCTTTCTTGGATGGTCTGTTGCCAAGTTTGATAGCAAGAGTATCCCTCCGCCGGATCTTACTTGCCAAAGTACCTGAGGATTTAAACCAGGTGAGGGATGCAGATAAAACAGCCATTAGCGAGTGTGTTCAGGTTACCCTCCACTTTAAAGAGGGTGCAGGCTAAATTCTTCATCCACATATGAGAGGGCAATTCTAATTAACCGAGGGGGGAAAAAGATTTCAACTTGGATATAGTTCATTCTGAGAAGCTTCCTGAACTATTTTTTTTTAAATGTTCTGGGAAAATATTGGGACACCATGAAAAAACTTGGAAGTCTATAAGCTCAATACTTGGAAACAGATAGCTGAAGAGATATGGTGGTATTTCGCTGATACGGTGGATAATGGAAATTAGTGATTGCACAATGCTTTTCCTGCCTTTTCTTTTTCAAGTTAACACAAATTTTATTTGTTCTGTACAGTTAATCCCTGTCATCCTCTGTGCTGCATTCATGTTGGCAAAGAGTCTAGCATGTACACAAATGTTGTAACCTTCAATTACCCATGGACCCTTAAATCTCAGCAGATGAGCTCATACCCGATGGATGACATAATTTTGCTTTTTTTTCATCCTCTATACAAATCAGAGGGAATCTGACAAACTTCTGTTTAATCATGAGTGCAACAAAATTTTTTCTTTTTTTTATAGTCCCCCACTTCTTTTTCCTCTCCCTTTTTCCAAACAGTGTTTTATGGTTCCCATTATGCTTTCTTCATGTGTACATGTGTGTATAACTTTGGTCATCTTGACCCAATTTTTTTGACTTAACATTTTTAAATATATATGCATTCATAATATATAAATATATATGCATTTTCATAATCTATCAATTCAATCCCATGGTGAAGTCCTCCCAAGTCATCTTGCTCAGAGGTTTTAAAAAATAACCACACATTCTAGTTCTTTAAGCTGAATATAAATGGCAGCATTGACTTTCTTTTATTCAGGCATGCTCCCTATTCTACCTTTCCCTGATGTGTTGAATGAGCATTTTTAAGTCTAAAAAGCTACTTGCCATTCACTCATTCCTCCCTCTTCTTTATGAAAACTGCTGTGTAGAAGTAAGTGAAATTCTCACACACTTAGATGAACAAGCCAGTGTACCCTGCCTTGATGCTGTCTCTTCAACAACAGTCCCAGGAGGGAAGGGGGCATCTCTGATCTGAGAAAGGCACTTCTCATTAGAAAGCCTTGGTATAAACACAAAGGTGCCCATTGTAGTTCACGGATGAAGGCCAGAGCCATCCCTTGGCATCATCATCCACAAAGGCTTGTCATCATAGCTAAACTTTAGGATAGCCATACATCTACTGTGAGAAAGAAAGCCAAGAGAAGAAAAACACCAGCTGTCTGGTAGCTCAAGAAATCTGTGCTCTTTGTAACATGCAGCTGCCTCTGTCCACCATCCCCTCCCCTCCCCACCTCCAGCAAACAGTCTTACTTTCTCCACTGCCATCATCATCCTCATCCTCTTCCTCATCATCATCTGTGTACAAGATGGGGCCATCTGAATCAGAGTCGGTGGCCTGGTACTCCTGTGGGCCATCTTCCTCTGAGGATTCTCCCATCAGTCCAGGGGCCAGCAGCTGAGGTCCTGCCTTCTCCATCTCATCTTTGGTCATAAAACTGGGAAGGGCACAGAAACAGAGGGGTGATGCGAAGCTCAGAGCCACCTGAGGGGGCGCCAACATCGTAAAAGGAGCTTACAGCGCCACACGGGCACTGCTCAGACTGGGGGAAAGCAGAAGCTGGACGGAGGGCGTTGTACATATATTCCACATTCTGTGTATCCGTTCACGAGTCACTATCGTACATGTGAGCTCTTCCCATTTTTTGGCTATAGTAAATAGTATTGCTAAGAACCCAGGCATACAAATTCAATTCTTTAGGCTAATATACACAGAAGGGGATAATTCTGTGTTTTGTTTATGTGTGTGTGTGTGTGTGTGTGCACGCACACACACACTAGTCTGAAGGCTTGAACTCAGGGCCTGGAAGCTTATCCTGTGCTTTTGTGCTCAACACTAGTGCTCTACCACTCAATCCATGGTACTACATCCAACTTTGGTGGTTATACAGAGATAAGAGTCTCATGGGGCTGGGAAGGTGGCTCAGTGGTAGAGCGCTTGCCTTGCATGCATTAGGCCCTGGGTTCAATTCCTCAGCACCACATAAGCAGAAAAAAAAGCTGGAAGTGGTGCTGTGGCTCAAGTGTTAGAGCCCTAGCCTTGAGCTGAAGAGCTGAGGAATAGTGCCCAGGCCCAGAGTTTAGGCCCCATGACCGGACCCCCCCCAAAAAAAAATCCAATCTAGAATCCAGATGGGAGACTCACAGTTTACTCAATGTTCTATGTTGCATACAATGTTATACCTATTTTCTTTTTCTTTCTTTTTTTTTTGGGTCCGGTTGTGGGGCTTGAACTCTGGGCCTGGGCACTGTCCCTCAGCTCTTCAGCTCAAAGCTAGTGCTCTACCACTATGAGCCACAGTGCCACTTCCGGCTTTTTGCTTTTTGCTTATGTGGTGCTGAGAAATCGAACCCAGGGCCTCATGCATGCAAGGCAAGCGCTCTACCACTGAGTCACCTTCCCAGCCCGTCATACCTATTTTCTACTTTATCAAATTAATATTAATGAGCCAGATGTCAGTGGCTCACTCCAGTAACCCTACTGAACCAGGAGGCAAAGATCTGAGGGTCATGGTTCAAAGCCAGAGTGAGCAGGAAAGAGTGAGACTTAGCTCCGGTTAACTAGCAAAATGCCACAAGTGGAGCTGTGGCTCAAGTGGTAGAGCCTCAGCCTTAAGCATGAAAGAACTCAGGGACTGCCTCCAGGCCCTAAATTCAAGCCCCAGTAATGGCACACAAAAAAAGTTATACGACTGTTCTAAGTTATACTTAACATTAACTACTGGTTAATTACTGTCAGTCAATCTTCCCTTCACTTTAATTCACCCCCCCTCTAGTTTCTTGGCACGTTGGACAAAATGGTGCTTCTTGACGTGTTTAACACAAGTCACCTTGGATACAGCCTCAAAATGGGTTGATCAATTTCTGCCTTAGAATGCAGCACATATGTCTGTTGTGGATAAAACTACCAACAAACAAAACCCTACACTTAGAACCCCACAATCTGGAAATACAGGTTAGGTATTTTTATACATAGCTACTTGCCCTCTTTCAAGTTTTGATGTTTGTATTCCAAACAGAAGTCTTTTCATAAAATGACAAGATTTTTCACACTTTAGGTAACTAAATATAACCGAGGGAGAGTTCTAAGTAAAACCAGCATCTAAGAGTCCAAACTTCACACTTAAATATCCACTTGACAGAGGAAGAAAGAATTCAGAAGAAAATTGGAGAGAAAACTTACTCCAGGTTCATTAATTCAAGAACAAACAGAAACTATCCATGTAAGATAAATTATAGTTGGAATTTTCATTTTCGACGAATGTATAGGTTTTTTTTTTTTTTAAAGGAAAGCATTCGTTACTTTGACTATCCCTACCAGGAAAATCTATGATATTCTAATGACCCGTGACATCCTAATCTAGGTCCCCCAAGGGTAGCATCAGTAGAAATGGAAAACTGACATTTACCAATGTGACAATTACTCACATGCAGGCTTTCTAGGAGTATTAAACTCTCAGCGTGTAGTATACTTAGTATAAAACAGTAGCTTCCTGTTTATGGAAGTGAACTGAACAGTCAGGTCATCTTTGACCATCAGCTCTCTCAATGCTCAAGACTACCTAATATCCTTATTCTTCAGTATGTTGAATAATTAATCCAAGAACTCAATAATCTATTTCCATAAATGTAGATGTTATCTTAAACACTTGTACTTTTTGGGCATGTTGGCCAATATTTTGCTTTAAAAAAAAGAAAAAATCAATCACACTCACAACTGGGCACTGGTAACTCACGCCTACAATCCTAGCTATTAAGGAGACTGAGATGTAAGGATGGCTGTTTGAAGCTATCCCAGGCAGTAAATTCCATGAAACTCTTATCTCCAATCAACTACTTAGAAAAAGCCAGAAATAGAGCTGTGGCTCAAATGCTAGAGCTCTAGCCTTGAGCAAAAGAACTCAGAAACAGCACTCAGACCTGAATTCAAGCCCCAGGACTGGCAAAAAAGAAAAAAGAAAACAAAACCCATGAAAATAAATAGTTTGAGAAGAGATCTGAAGTGATTCCCGGCCTGCATCTCAATACGCAGTGTCAGGTTTGCACTTGGGCTCTGCCTCCGTTCACGCATAGTGTGATTGTGAGCATACTGTTACCTCTCTCAGTCCCACTTTTCTGATCTATAAAGCAGGAAACCCCAGGGGAGATTTATCTGAATTAAATGATAATGAATGTAGCATCCTAGCTCCTGATATTAAGAATTCAATAAATGAAGGTTATTTTTCATAACCCTTTAAAAAGTTGATATTTTACTGTCGTGATCAAAACCAATCTAATTAATACATGAATGGTTTTTTAATGAAAGAAAACCTACTAAAACATTGAAGATTGGATTTAGGTTTTATTCTTAGAAACAAGATAGAAGAAGCTGGATTTAAGAACTCCAAGCCTTCCCTAGATAGAATTAGTAATTCCATCTATGACAACCTTCTGTTCATACCTGTGGGACAAGAAGGATGCCTTATCTTACTTAATCTTTCAGTAGTGCATTTGTAAGACTTTGTGCTTAGATACAAAGCATAAAGAAAGATGGGAATTGTAGGAAGATCCCTGCGTTTCTAGATTGGGCAAGTGGTTATGGTAGGACCATTATCTACCAGTAGATAAAATAACCGATTCTGTATAGAACTAGTGGAAGGCTTCAGAGAGGAAGCTGGGTGGAAAATTAAAGGAGGAAAAATGAGAACCCCTCTTCTCTTGTTGGAGAAGGAGTTGGAATTCTAGAGGTTTTTCCTGAGTCTTAATTTTCTTGGGGGAAGAAGCTGACTTGTTATGATGATGATGGGTAAGCCAACTGGACCCCAATAATCAAGGTCTAAAGATAAACAATCTAAGGAAGGAGAAAAGAACTATTTAAACACACACACACACACACACTGCCGAGCTGCTGTGTATTCTTGAAAGTTAAGAGAGCTGAAGTGGTGTTTGTAACTTCATCAATGAAATTTTCTCCATAGCTCTTGGCATTCCCAGGGCAGGGCTAAGAAAAACCAATGGCTGGACTCCGTGTGTGTTTACCTAACATTCATCAGCTCAATAAAAAATAGAGACTCATTCATGACTTGAGTGAACTTTTTGGTACTTAGATGGAAAGTGAGATTTGGGCCTGACTTACCATTTTGCGTTTTCTCTGTTAACACTTAAGCCAGTGCCTGAGTAGAGAGTGGTGGGTTCTTCGGTCCCAAGGAGTTGGCTGGGGTCTAAGGCAGAGATGGGCTGGCCAGCTCCATTGCTGACCAGGACCACTGGTGTGTCTGAGGCAATAATGCACTGATCTTCAAGAGGCAGAGGGAGGGCTGGGGAGGAGGGTGGTGGAGTCACAGGAGGCAAAGGGCCGGTGGCCTTGGATTTGCCAGTAGCCTGCTCCTCAGCCTCAGGGACAGTCTGCTCGGGTTGGAGGCTCCCCACACTGGTCTCTGCAGGGTCTCCTTTAAGATCAGATGGGCCAGGTATGGCGGCGTCTAAGGACAGTCTGGAGGCCGATGACTGCTTGCCAGTTTTTTTCTTGCCCTTTGCTGTTCCCACTGTCCCTGTTTTGCTAGCAACTGTCTCCTTGGAAGCTCTCGGTCGAGAAGAGGTGGATGAAGTGGACGGTGAAGCAGACGTTTTGGAACCAGTTGGTTTTTTCAAGTGAGAAGAGCCAGCTAAAACAGAGAGATGTTGCATTAAAGACCAAAGGATGCAATGCTTTTGAATGAAGTGACTAAACTGTAATCGCTCATGACATTTCAACTGTTCCCTTTAACATTTGGGAGAGCATCAGCTAATAATGCTATTGACCTGGTTTTCTGTCTCCCACCTACCCTGAATGTAGTATGGAACAAATGAAACGTAGAGAAAAACTAAGGGGCAAGAGCCCCCTTGCTCTTCTCTCCTGTCGTGTTTTGGGGAACAACCAAAAGGGAGCCCTCAGCTCTTTGTCCTATGGCTACCCAGAACAGCTCTTTACCTGTAAAAAAGAGGCACTGGGGTGTGAAGAGGACCGTCACCAGTGGTCAGCTGGGTCCACTGAGAGCCCAAGTGAGTCTCCACATTGACGGGTGTTCTCTAATGGAGTCAGACACGTATTCTGAAGAAGCTGTGCTATGCCACCAGCTAGCCTTTTTCTAAGTCAAAGCAAATTCACTTGTCTCCTTGTTAAAGAGTAACCACCATTTCAATAACCTACTAGGACAAGGCACTCAGGAAAGATAAACCTCCTTCAAACCATCAAAAGGTAAGGAAAATGGTTTCAATTGTTTTGTTTTGGTCGGTCATGGGGCTTGAACTTTGAGCACTGTCCCTCAGCTCTTCCGCTCAAGGTGAGCTGTCTACCACTTGGGCCACAGCACTCTTCCAGTTTTCTGGTGTTTTGTTTTGGAGATAAGAGTTCCACGGCCTTTCCTCCCTGGGCTGGCTTTGAACCATGATCCTCAGATCTCAGCCTCCTGAATAGGTAGGATTACAGGCGAGAGCCACTGGTACCTAGCCGGTTTCATTTGTTTTTACAAGAAGAATTTACATGGGTAGCATCTGAATAATTTGAAAGGAAAGAATATCACAATGAGAGCTTCTACAATATCTTTTTATGTGTGTGTATATATAGAATATATATTATAGTGATATAGTGCCAATCCTGGGGCTTAAACTCAGGGCCTGGGCACTGTCCCTGAGCTTTTTGTGCTCAAGGCCAGCCACTCTGCTACTTGAGCCACAGCTCCACTTCTAACTTTCTGGAGGTTTATTGGAGATGAGAGTCTTACAGATTTTCTCCCTGGGCTGGGTTCTTCAGGTCTCAGCCTCCTAAGTACTTAGGATTACAGGTGTTAGCCACTAGCATTCAGCTTTATTTATGTTTAAGACAAGGTCTCACTATATTGTCTAGGTTTGTCTGAAGTTCCTGGGCTCAAGTGATCCTTTTGCCTGGGCCTCCTGAGTAGCTGGTATCTATGTGTGCCAACTCACCTGCCTCTTCCCACAACTTCTGATGACAGAATTCATAAATAAATCTAATGACTCTTTTTGCTTGTGTTCAAAATGACTCTTTAAAGGATTGCCATGGTCTATTTGCTTACTTCTGGATAGCTCTGCCTTTCACTAAATTGTTTGTAGAAAAGCAAAGTCAATTATCTTCTTCATGTCATTCTCGAAAATATATTTGATGCTTATGAGACTATTCTTTTGTTTCATGGCCTCTATGATCTATAACTTCTAGCTGCTCTCCTATTATAATGTTACATGTCTCTCTAACTTCATGAGGGGTTATACCATCTTTCATAGAGAGATGCAATCTTAGGAAAGCTCTTGTTAGTACTGTGGTGACAAACCACATTGATGCTACTAAACATAACTTGAGTTATAACTACATTGAAGTCAACTGGGAGGGTCAAAGATGAAATCTAAACAAAGCAATAGTGACAGGAGTCAGTTTCATGTAGTGACAGGTCCAGGCTCAAAAAAAAAGTCTCTCTAGTGTGGGTTGTTTTTTCTCTCTCTCTCTCTCCTCTCTCTCCCTCTCTCTCTCTCTATATATATAATTTGTATATAATACACAATATAGAATTCTCCATCACCAAATCTAGACTTGGAATGACCCAAGTTCTTACCTTTCCTTGTGTACGAGACAAACTCACTAAGCATACTTTTGCATCCTAAGCCTATTTTAAACTAATTTTTTCCAACAGATTTTGTGCCTAAACATGCTCTACTGTTTACTTAGGTAAGTTTGATGGAATCTCTTCCATCTATCAACACTAATAATATTCTAGTAAATTTTTAGAAAACTCTTTCATAAGATACATTTAATTTTACCCTGTCTTAAGAAATAAAATTATTATTTTGGGGGCTGGGAAGGTGGCTCAGTGGTAGAGCGCTTGCTTTGCATGCATGAGGCCCTGGGCTCAATTCCTCAGCACCACATAAGCAAAAAGAAAAAAGCCGGAAGTGGCGCTGTGGCTCAAGTGGTAAAGCGCTAGCCTTGAGCTGAAGAGCTGAGGGACAGCGCCCAGGCCCAGAGTTCAGGCCCCACGACCAGAACCAAAAAAAAAATTATTTTTAATGTCTGGGAGACAAATGTAAGCCATATCATATTTTTTCATTAAGTATTTTTCAGTATAACAGGCTTTGTTGGAATCAACTGTAATTGTTTTTAAAAAGTGCTGCCTCTCAGTTAATAATGAGAAAGAAAATAAACAAGGGAGATTAACCCTTAATTCCCTGCAAAGCAGAGAAGGTACAAATAGCTTACTGATAAGCAAGCAGCTGGTTATATGGCCACCCCATTAAATAATAGAGGGAGCATATCATGTGACAACTGTTGTTTAATAACTTAAAACATCAAATCAAAGGTTGAGAACCACATTTGACCTATTATATGAGGGTCAGCACCATTCAAACACTACAAAACTACCATGCAAAGAATTCTACATGGTTACAATTGGAATATGAGCAGGAGTCTGAAGGAGTATTACCAGTATTTGACTTGAAAAGATCCTCAAGGAATGGCTTTGTTTCTCTGTCATAACCCTGGGAATAGTCACATTCTTATTTATACAAAGGCCTCCTCAGGCCTTTACATTTAATGTCATAGATACATGGAATGTAATATTCCCTTAGGAAAATCACAAGTCAATAAATAAATCTTCAAGTAAAATAGCAGCATTATTTTTCAGAGCCAGCGAGTGCTTAGTGAATGAATGAGGGAGGAAGTGTGTGCAAGATGCGATCTTCATTCTCCACGGCAGTCACGGTCAGGGCTTTTCTTTATGAAGGAGCTCATGGCCTGCCTCCCTTCAGGCATGGTGAGGCCATCTGGGAAACCCCCAGTAACAAGACTAGACTCAGACATGGGACGGCAGATAGTCCCCTAGGAAATGGCCCTTACGTATTCTCTACACATCACCCTGAGATATTTCATTTTAGGGCTGTTTGGAAGAGACCAGACACTAAATGTCCAAGATGGCAAGATAGAATGGCAGGGAGAGAAGTCTTTTTGCCTTTAGAGAGAGCTGTTATTCTGTCCACTATTCCATGAATTTGAGTAGGATGGGTATACATTACAAGGGGGAACAAAAACCGATCAACATTAAGACAGATCCTAATAGGTCATTGCCAGAATATTGCTGAGGATGATGAGGAAAGTAAGACCTGCTGGAAGACAGAAGAGTTTTATGCACATATTAATGGAGAAAAGCCTCAGATGATGTAAACTTTGGTTAATAGCCTTTGCAAAGCAAGATGGTATGGAAGTCATCTTTATTCCACTTTACTCAGGAATGGGAGCTCTACTCTGCATGGAGTAGGTTAGAGTTGAAAGGAAAACTGGATCTACAAGACCAGGTACTATTGTCTACTGGTCATCTATGGTAGCAACTTGTAAGTCTACCATACCAGGATATTTTGCCTTACAACTTTCAACTCCACTGGAATAGTTTTGACTGGAGTGAAAAACAGTGAACGTTGAGCTGAATCAAATATATGAATCATTTGTCACTTACTGGAAGAGCGAACCAGCAACCATACCAGCTATATACATGGCATAGTCTAACAAGCCAATCTAAAGTGTTTTAAACCAAACCCCACACCAATGAGAAACTTATACTCTTAGAAGACAGAAGGTCATTCACTATGTGCATAATGTCCTATTTGTCCAGCATCATTCACAGGGAGCCAACTGGAGTGGGTCTCCCTGTGACTATTAATAGTGGATACCAACAAGCAGGAGGCATAGTTACCCCAATCAAGGTGAACTAAGCACCTGGTTGACTGTCCCCTGCAGACAGGTACAGTGAGGTTCCTGAGACATTCTCTGTCCATGTTGCATCCTTGGTTTTATATCCCGAGATGACAAAAGAACCACAATTTTCCCCTCCCGTAGCCCAGCACTCTGGACTCAATCCCACAATGCCCTGGAGACATACTCACCAGCCTCTCGGGTCGTGATTCGGCCTGTTGGTTTGGGTGGAGGGACGGGGCCCTGCTTGCCAGGAGCCTTGGCATTTTTTTTACTGGGAGGCGCTTCATCACCTTTGTGGCTGACCCCGGCAGTGGCCCCTTTGGGGGGCACAGGTGACTTTTTGGGTTTAGGTTTGGGTTTAGGCTTAGGAGGAGCTGAAGGAGGTAGAGCAGGCGCTGTCGGTGTTTCAGAGTGGTTTTCAGTGTTCTCTACAAATGAGAAAGTGAACAGAGCAGACCGATACAGACACACATAAGCAGCAGGAGCAAGACATGGTGACAGCGGTACACACACTGGGCAGCTTGGCACTTTGGAAGCACGATGGGGCAACTACACCAGACAGCACACATCTGGAGGGTAAAAATTCAAAGTCTGAAAGATACATTGGGCATGTTCTCTGAAGGCACCGTTCATGTTGATGAAGTTGAGGATAAACCCAAGTGTCCACAAGCCAGGGACCTCAATTCTAGCCTCCAATCTATGGTGGACAGAGGATCACTAAATTGAACAAAATTAGCATACTATTGTGTGTGTGTGTGTGTGTGTGAGAGAGAGAGAGAGAGAGAGAGAGGAGAGAGAGAGATTTGAACTCAGGGCAATGCACTTGCAAGAAAGGTGCTCTTCCACTTGAACCATTCCTCTAGCTCCAAATTAATAACATCTCAACTGAAGGATCTTTGAGAATGACAGGTGAGTACTTTGTACGTACCACCACTGGGGGTGAGGGCTGAGTGCCAAAACAGTGACTGGACTCAATTTCCTCTGAGAACGCACGTCTGATCAACCTGGAAGGGCCTCCAGTGTCGTCTCACTATACCCGGCCTGTTCTCAGCCATGGGAGACTCTGGAGGGCAATGATATGAGACCTGTGCTCTGAACAGGGAACTGCTTTCCATGAAAGTTCACAAGCTTCCCCGACACACTAGGGCAGCTTCCTGTTCAACAATAACTTCTTCTGCCCTGTGAATTTGCAGCAGGACGATGGGCCAGGAGGGGGCCCAATCCACGGGATATTTTGTTTTGTCATGGAAACAGAAATAAATGACTTTGAAAAGACAAACGCTAAAATTCAGACAAGAAAATCACAAAGTGAAACACAGAGACCTTCCCTGGATTTTGGAGAAGTGGAGAAGTAATGTCAGAAGAAGTATTGAAAGTGGAAATGTATACGTTTCTTTGTACATTCCCATCTGTATCTTTCTCAAAGGGATTGATTTTGTAATGAAAATAATTTTTATAAAATGGTTTTGGTCCATTTCTTTACAAACGGAGGACAATTAACAACGTAAGACAGTGTTAAGACAAAATGCAACCTTCAATGGGTATACCTTTCCGTTTGTGAATGAAAGGGCTTAATAGAGGCATGTTTCACATTTTATTACCATTTCTTTTGGTTTGCTTCTTATTCTAGTCAGGATGAAATAAAACTGTCCCCTTTTAAATCATATCCTCTCTTAGTTCAGGCATGTATCTAAAACAATGATTTTAGTGACAAAAGCTAATCAATAAAATCAATAAAACTCGTTCCCTCTCTGTCCCTTCCCTCCCAACCCTCCCCGCCTCTCTGTGTGGTGGTACTGTGGGTTGAACGCAGGGACGGGGTCATGTACTTGTTATGAAAGTGCTCCTCCACTTCAGTTACACCTTTAGTCCCTTTTTTGATTTATGTTATTTTTCAATAGAGTCCTGAATTTTTTTTCCAGGGTAGCTTCAGACTACAATTCATCTATCTGCATCTTCTACGCAGTCCCCCTGCGTCACCACATCTAGACTGTGAATTAAGATGAAGTACCGCTAATATTCTGCACCTCCTCACCCCGGCTCGTCTCAAATTGCAATTCTCCTATCTCTCCCTCTGAAGAATCTTGGATTACAGGGATGTTCTGACATGTCTGGCTATGTCTTTTAACACTCTCCCTTTATCCCGACTCAACTATAACCCTCCCTAGTTATCGCTGAAATCAGCCTTTTCCACCTCTCTCTTTCTTCCCTTCTTTCCTTCCTTCCTTCCTTTCTTCTTTCTTTCCATGCACCAGTTACTCAACATTTATGAGAGGCTGCTTTGTATTTTTGCCTTTCTAGTCACGTATCTTTTCTTCTACCTCAGTTGTCCTGTATCCTGTATAGAAAACATTGCCTCCAACCCAACAGGTCTGAGTCAGGTTCTAATGGACATAAGTCTGTTAGGACCAAGAATGATCCAAGTTGGTACACAGCTAAAACATTGCAGCCTCTGTTTTGAGACCTCAAATCATGCTTCACACGTGCTCAGGTTGGCATGGAACTCATGATCCTCCTACCTTAGCCTCCCCAGCAGAGATTATAGGTATATGCCACCATGCCTGGCTTAAAACATTTATTTCAATATGCAATATAACACACTAACTTTGTAGATTTTTTTTTTGCATAGGGAAGAAGTCGACTTTTTTAAAATACAATGCCTACAATGTTAGCCCCAGCACAATATCACACACACACAGAGACTAGGCTCAATAATCCTATCATCCATCAGAATAATGAAGTGATCTGCACTGTGTGGTACGTGTGTTCTCCTCCATTCTGCAAACGACGCCTGACTTCCCTTCCTTCCACAGCAGGCCGGCGAGTGATCCTTTCCTGGTCTGCTATGGGTTTTCACTTCTAAAACTGTACCTTGTAGATGGGCTGGTGAGAGAGTTCAGTGGCAAAGCATGTGCTGAGTGTCTGCATACACACCTGAGAGACTCAGGTTCAATCCCAGCATCACAAATAATAAAGCAATCCCTCCAGGAAGCGACCCTCTGGGTTGGAGAAGGAAGAGATGGGTGGTTTGTGACAGCTGGCAATTTTCTCCCTAATGGAGAGAAAATGGACAAGCCCAACTCTGCTGATCCTTCGAAAACTTGGAGCTTGCTCTTTGCTCTCCCAACTCAGCCACTTATCACTGAGTGGCGTGCATGCGGGTGAGTCCAAAGGGGTGTGTGTGTGTGTGTGTGTGTGTGTGTGTGTGTGTGTGTGTGTGTGTGTGTGTGCATGTGAATATACAGAGATTATGTTTTCTGAATAACTTAAAATGCCTTCAGTTTGAAACTGTTATGTATTTAAATATTCAGACAGTATCACCATGTAGCTCAGATTGGTCGGGAATGATCCTCCTGCCTCAAACCTCCCAAGTGCTAGGATTACAGGTATACACCACACGACTGGCTGTCTGACATTTATATCCCATCCAACACAGTGCTCTAAAATATAGGTTTATTCCATGAGTGTTATACACTGGTTGATATACAATCAATAGAAGACAGACTCTTCTGTCGTATTCGGAAGGTAATGACTTAAGATATGTGGTTGGTTTCTTTTTCCTTTTTTTTTTTTTACTATTATGATAGGATTTGATGACATGAAAGAAATGATGCAGAGGAGAGTATTATCTTCCCCAGAGGAGGTTAGGAAGGAGGCATCTGCTCACTTTGGTTATGCTGGCACACAAGATATCACAATGCCACAGTTGGGAAAACAAGCTGTCTGCTTCCAGGCATGGCTTCTGCTGCCACATGTGGTGTGAGTCCAACTATCCCTACAGCCAGCCCCAAACTGCATGCCTTCTGCACCTGGTCATCTCCCATACCTGACTAGCTCCCTGTCTCCTCCAGGTCTTAGTTTACTCAGAGAAACAATTCTGGTCTCTGCTCTGGGTTCTCTGGTCTCTCTCAAGACCCTCATCCATTATATTTTGCATCTTGTACTGCAACTGCCTGTGTGCACTCTGGCCTCCTCTTAGGCTACTGATTGACTCTCATTCTCCAGTCCTTTCCTAGCCTCCACCAGGGTCTTATCCATGATGGTCCCTCATGATTGTAGAACAAGGTAAGTGTGCCTCACTGTTGCCTTGTTGAATAACCTTCATAAAAATTCTATAGAAATAATGTTAAACAATTTTAAGATTTCTCATAAACTGCTATATGTAACATAGTGCAGATTATGGAAGAAGTCTCCAGTATTAGCAGAGGAGGCCCAGAACTGCTGTACTAACTACACAGTCAGATGCCTGGGGAAGCCCAGCAAGAGCTTTGTGGACTGCGTAGAAGCGAGCCACAGGTTAAATGTGAAGGCCATATGCTTTGCTTTCCTCAACACTGATGGTTCCAATATTAAAGTATTGAGATACTGTTTTACAAAGAGATATGACAAGCAAGCACCCTAGGACTTTCAAGGCCTATGGTATGGTTTTTTTTAAAAAACAGCCTATCAGTAGAGGAAATAATGCCAAGAGTAAGCTGCCTTTATGCTGAGGGAACATTAAACCCCAGAATTACGATTAAGCACGTGGGATGGTGGGCTGCAATGGAAAGGAACTCAGACAAGGAGTGAGACCAAATGAGAGGACAGGCCAACTCAATCAGGTTAGTTTTCAGAATCCAATTGGGCCTTACTAGAGAAATCAAACAATCCTTATTCATAGGGCATTTTCTATGGAACAAAATGTTTTGCAGTATTAGTTATGAGTGACATTATTTTTAGACTCAGGAAGTGGTTCCTAAACCTAATGCTGCCTTTTGTTATCAGCCTGGCCTTGCGTGAGCTCTGTCCAGAGGGAGCTTTGCTGACAGCATTTGTGCATCTCCCTCTCCTGACACCCTCTAACTCACCAAGAACAGAAACTCCGAACAAACGAGTCAACTTATGACACCTGTTGTCGTCTTCTTTTTAAAATCTGAACCTATCAGAAACATTTTATTTGCTTGACAAGGCCAATACTTCCTCTGATGTCTGCCCAGTCAGTGGGTGACAATGCTAGCCACACAGACCAGGGACAACCGACAGATGATGGATCTGAAAGTGAACAGTTGACACAGGACAGCGGAACTTAAAAAACACACAAACAAAAAACCCCAAACCAAAAAGATGTCACTAACTGCATTAAGATTTTCAACTAAAGCCCTTTAAAATTCAAGTGTACTTTCTGTTACGTCTCAGAAATATCATTAAAAGTATTATGTTCTTACGATCATTGTTAATATGTGGAGAGTTCTTTAGTGGAACAAGCTAGGGCCTGCCAATATTATTCTTAATATTTGATGAAAATAAAACGAAACATTTCTCAACAGATGATTAACCTAGATTTCTAATACTTTTAAAGGTTTCTTTATATGCAAAGAATTAAAAGTGGTTGTGGACTTAGTCAGAAAAGATGATTTTAGTTACTAGGTCTGCTTAATAAAAGCCATCAAAGTTCCCCATCTTGGGAGGATTTGGGTCAAGAATGGAGAAAGAGAACTTCACTTTTAGTCATTTCCAGCAGTTCTCAATATGTCTATGGAACCCAAATAAAGTTTCATGAAAATTTTGCCATCCAACTCAGAAGTGGGCTTTGTAGAACAGGAAACAATCTCTTTCCTGAGCTTTCCTTTCTATCCTTCATAGAGTCATCTAGAAACTTGTAGAAAAATCTCTCCCTGTGGGATTCCCATTGACGATATGCACAAAGATGAGGCTTGGTGGGCTGCCTGCCTGTAGTAACAGTGGTATAGCGCTATAATCCAAGAGTCTGGAATTTATGGATGCTGGGGGTGTCTGAATCTATGGTAGCATATTCACCCTGGAAGTCAAGGCCTCTTTTTTAAGTCTTCCAATATGATCTGGGCACATTTTGAAATTTCCAAATCACAGAAAGATCCTGAAGCAGAGGCTGAGGCATCTCTAGGAAGTAACTCTTTCTAGATCTCTTCTAGAAACGTCTAGAACCTATAATATTGGGTGTGTGGATGTCATCTGCCCAGTCTCATACCAGAAAAGGAGTTCTGGGCTGAGAGACCCATTTGAGCCTTGGTATTAGTCTGCATTGAGCTGCTCACCAAGGTCTGTTGGAACCAGCTAAGAAAGTTGTTCCAACATCTTACTTTTTTAAGATCTTGAGGAAAAAACTACGAAGAAAAGAGGATATTAGTAGACACCTCTTATATTTCAAGAGCCTGCTTGCTCAGATTATTACCTTATAAAATGGACACATCCTCTTGAGGAATTCATCCTATTTCTTTTCCTAGTTATCAATTCTGTCTTCTTGGCACCTTCAAACTTCCTCATTGTAAACTAATGATTTAGACTCACTATTGGACGCCTGAGGGCCAGGTTCTTGACATTGATCTGTACTAAAGGAAATAATAATATGTGTTTCTCTTTATTTTACCTTTCTTATCTTCTGCCCTTTCTTCCCGAGGTGGTGTTTTCTCAGACACAGAGCCATTACCTTCTTCAGACTTCCCTACATTTTCCTCTCGGGTAGATTCCTCTCCGATGGGTATCATGTGCCCGTTTGAATTTTCAAAGTTAACTGTTACATCTCCATCTAAAATTGGAAAGAAACACCTAGATGTCTAACTTGATGGCTTTCTTAAAAATCAGTTCCCCACTTAGAGACTATAGATCTGGGTGTGTTTTTCTGTCCCTGGGCACCAGATCACCATGGTTTTAACCAAATGATTTCTTTAAAACCTAAGAGCCAGAAATCATTTAGTCTTGAGAAAAAACAGCCATGGAGGGAACATCCACATGCCATTTCCAGACAGGAGGAATGAGTTTCTTCATTATGCAAAGCACCAAGGTAGCACAGTCCCTCTGGTTCTTGGGCTACAGTCTGGTTGAAGTCAATAGTTATGTGTGTCTTTGTCATCCAGATACTAAGTGGCAAAAAGAACAATCTGGAATATGGAATAAACATCTTAACATGTACCGAAAACACAAAGCGAATGCAAATACACAAATATAACATGAAAGCAATTACATGTGAAAGAACAGAAACGTTCCCAAGCACTACTATCTGCAGAGTATCTTACATCTACATGTGTTAATTACACAAGAACATAACTGCTACTCTGTGTTCTGGGGAAAGGTGGTACCAAGCTAATTTTGTTTTTATTTTCTTGACTATAGAAAGATTAAAACATCCAATAATTAGAAAACACTTGGGAAAATATGCATAAAACTTAATTATGGAGGATTTTGACAGAGCTGAAAATAAAATTTATATATTATCTAAATCATAAATAACTAATTTTAATGCCTGAATTTCCAGAATTTCTGAGGGTTTCCAAAATAAAAGTGACTGCATTCATTTATGCTTGAAATGATTACCTCTGGTTCATATACAGAAGGATTTTTGAGGTTCAACTACTATTATAAAACAAAAATTAACTCAATAAACATGAAAGAATACATGATTTGAGGTGTTTATTTGCACTTTTTGATTAATCATTTGGGTAATCATTAGAAAACAGAGACTATGTCTCACATTATTGTTGCTTTAATTCATCTACAAAATGCATTAGCCTTCTCTAAAAAGCAGACTTAACATAGAGAATTGAGACAAGTATAGAATTATATCCTGTTCAAAATAAAAAAGAATTGTTGCTTAGTGATATAATTCCTAAGAACCTGTAATTCGATTCCTACATACATTTAAGATAGAAAAAAACTGAAAGCAATGCCACTGCAAATAAGTACTAATTATTTCAATAAAATTAAGGTAAGAATTATTGGGTGTCAAGCAATTAGCATAAAAGGGAACAGTCACAGATAAAATAAAAATAATGTAAAAACAAACAATTCCAAGCAAAGTAAAAATTAAAAAATCACTTCTTTGTATAAAACTCCTTAGGTTTTAGATAACTCTGTTGTATTTGACTTTAGTTGGCAATGAACTCATATTAAAGTTGTATTAATGGCAGCTTACTTCTATTTTAAGTAATTACATTAAAATTCTTTGATTGCTTAAATTAATTTTTTATAAATCTGAATAAAAAAGCTAAGGAGAAAATTACATAGTGTCATAGAGAAAAAATGAATTTTAGAATGACAGAAATAATGAATTAGGTAGAAATAATATTTACTCTGAGGCATAGAAAAGAGATATGTCTGTAATAAATATGGAATTCAAGGGAAGAAAACAAAAAAATTGAACATATTAAGTAAAAAGTGCATGTGGTGAAAGTGTTTGTAGTACTGGGTGATAAGAAAATTGTTTCAGAATGAAAACAAGTTAAACCTTCTATGCATGGGCTACATAACCCAAATATCAGCAGAGTAAAGGAAGACCTGGGAAGGTACTTGAGCCAGTCCCAGGTTAGAGTCAAGAGGTAACATTTGTACACAAAGGACTGAGACCTCAGAAAGTCATAGTAAGCTTAAAGTAAAATGAGAGACAATGCACAGGCAGAAGTAATTGGTTACATCATAGCACAGGAGTACCAGGAGGGACATACCTCTTTCTGGTAAACAAGGATGTAAGGAACGGAAGTAAAAACAAAAACAAACAAAAAAAACTCAAAAAGTGAGAAGCAAAAAGGCACAGCTAGAAGGAGGAAATCATGTATGAGCACAGGGAAGTGACTCATGAGGAGGTTAAAACTGTACCCTGAGAAAAGAAAGGAAGCTGGCAGGCCAATAGGAAATCCTCACGCCCTCGTGTTCAAACTGCAAGAAAAGATGGAAGGACAAAACCAGAGATAAATACCAAACTTGGGCTACATCACGTATGGACTTCTCAGGAGAAGCCAACTGCAGAACTTTTAAATTGAAGTGAGAATTTGGTGCAAAATAAAGAATATAGAAGAATCTGAAAGGAAAAATAATAGCTGTAGTGAGGTATGGATGGACTGAAGTTAAAACCAGGGCAGCAAAAGAGAGCGAAAAAGTCCATCCGGCCCCATGTAATAAAGGGCAGAACTGACAAGCAATCAAGAGCTACCAGAAGGTCAAGAAGGTCAAAGCCAAGAATGAATCTTCCCGGCAGAAACAGAGGTGGCTGTCACCAAAAAATAGCAGCTTCCAGTCTCAGAGACTGAAGTTTTCAGGGTAATTGTCTTTGAGTCAATGACAGAAAACCAATTTTCTCCATCCTCTGATTGAAAATGAGAAGGGTTCTGTTTATAACTGGCATCTTGGGACACCTTCAACCTGTAGTTAACTTTTACTGTTCTATATGTGGACCTTGTGAAACAACAACAATAACAACAAAGAAGGTGGAGAGTAAAACTCAATAGGTTAGGTCTTCTCAAACATGAAGCCTATTGGATTATGGGTAAGTTCTTTTTTTTTAAGTTACTTCCTTTGAGTGGCTGTATAATAGAGTTGCTATTCAACAAAGCAGTTTCTGAGTACAATGTGTCTTGATCAATGCCATCCCTTTTAGGTTCTTTAATGTTTTAAAACTAACACTCAGCCATGAAAGATTTTTTTTTTTAGAAAAGGTCAAATAGAGTCAGATCTCTGGGAAATAAGTATATGTTAGCCTCAGAATCATTAACTAGGAGGCAAATTGCTGAACAGACTGGGCAGAATAAAAAGCAAGTTGTATTAACAATTTCCTTAAATTGAGTATCGCTACATACATTTAGAAAAAGTAAACTCTTTTTCCATCTCTAATTTGGTTTTTTAATTGTTAGTACTGATTAAACTCAGAGCTTTGTACCTGCTAGTCAGGCATTCACTCTTATCATTGAGCTATATTCCTGATCATTTCTTCTGTTTTGTTTTGTGATTTTTAGACACGGTTTTGCTAGGTAGTTCAAAGTGATGAACTTCTTATGGAGCTGAAGCTGGCTTTCAACTCCAGATCCTTCTGTTTCTGCCTCCTGCGGCCTGGGATTACATATGTGTGCACCATGACACTTGGTACCCTACGTTTTCAGAAGCAGAAGTAAGACTATAGCATTTTCAAGCTCCACTCTGTGATTGTTCAGATTTTGGAAGAATTGTGTCAGTTTCACTTATAAATAGTCAATGGAAAACCAAACCAACCAAAGCAAACAAAAGAACAAAAAACCCAGGCTGGGAATGTGGCTTAGTGGTAAAATGCTTGCCTAGCATGCATGAAGCCCCGGGTTTGATTCCTCAGTACCACATACACAGAAAAAGCTGGAAGTGGTGTTGTGGCTCCAGTGGTAGAGTGCTAGCCTTGAGCAAAAGAAGCACAGGGACAATGTCCAGGCCCTAAGTTCAAGCCCCGGGGCTGGCCAAAAATAAAAAAACCTAACAAAACAAAAAACAATAGTCAAGTTCTTTCCAAGGAATATATACCAAGAAGAGGTAACATTTTATTACAAATTAAGGTCGTATTGAAGGGAAGAGAGGACTAAGATAAATCAATAGTGTTGCGGTAAAATGCCTTTTAACAGCAGTGGGAACAGAGAAAATAGGTTGATATTACTTATTTAGAGAAATAACCAATGTTGGTGTCTTCTTTTGAGCCACTATCTCAGTCTTCTTTGAGTTAAGATGGAAGAAGAAAAGCACAAGAATAGAGCAAAGAAAAAAATAGATAATGTAACAAAGTATAAAAAGTGCCTAAAGTTCAGAGAAATGAAAAAAGGACTATACAAGAAAAGCAAAAGCATTTGAGAGTAAGCACTAAACAGGCTAATTTGCCCATTCCTGCTTTATTGATAGTATCTCAATAAAAAGTGAAAAGGACATGAGGTACGTTTCTCATTTCTTTCACTGCTGTTCTTAAGAAACAAACGTGGTATTAGTAAGCTAAAACTCTGTTAAAACTCCAACAAGCACCTGTAAAGATTAAAGAACAAGAGAAGAAAAGGAGCCATGCAAGCATTTGTATCTTTACCCTTATCTCTAGCCACTTGTTGTCCTGTGTAGACTTTCATGTTTTAGAGTGAACTCTGGAGAAGCAATCACCAGAAAATCCTCTGAACTTCTTTTCAATAATATCTCAGATACTCTAAAAGAGAGATTCTTGGCTATTTTCCTGAAAAAGGGCCCCATGTGATCATCTTAAATTTCAAAAGAAAACGAAAGAATGACCAAAAATGAAGGATCAAGTTATTTGAAATGTATGATTAATTTCCTCACCTTGATCAGGCAATTCCTTAAGCACGCCCCTTCTTATCAGCTCCTCTCTACTTTGTCTTGTGGAAATCTTCCTCTCTAATACTTTTAAAAAGAATAAGCACAAGTAAGAATCAAGTCATCGCTTCAAATAATTAAGAACAATATTCCAAACAGATTTGGGCACACCCATTCTGTGTACAAGAGGGCTCAAGCCTCAACTTACTTTGTAGCATCCTAAAACACACAATTGGACAAATCACTGCAACTGGTGATCGGAAGTCCAGCCATCATCCCTGGTCTTTCAAACTATAATCTCTGGCCAAGAACCCAGATACATTATTCCATACCAACCATAGAGTACTGAGATAACATCTCACTCTGAAATATTCCTTTCTCTAATAGTGACATTAAAAAAAAGCACATGCTGACAAATGTGTCTGCAGTATGATATGCAGTATATGTACATTACATGTAAATTTACATTTAAAAAACAAACCCAAAACAATCCACACATTTCCAACAAACATTTCATCTGAATCTGGGTGAGAAGGGACTATTGTTTCTAGTATTTTCTCTGGCACAGCATCTGGTATAAAAGTCTAACACATGAGATTTCTGTAAGTCTTTTCTTTCCCATACTTACAAGTTCCAGGAGGTTCTGGAATAGCCCCTGATAAACTCAAGTCCTAGGCGAATGGAAGAGAGTTCAGAATGGGCAGCTTTCCCAGGCTTGTCAAGGAATGAGAACCTTACCCTGATTCTTCCTGCTTCTGGAAGAAATCTATGTTCTTGATACAATGTCAGAATGGTGCTTAATGTTCAGTTTTGCTTGAATACAACTTGCCTGTCAAATCACCAGCTTTGTCTTCTACTCTTGGAGATTTTGTGAAAATCCCACACATGATTAGTTTACTTACTAATCCTCTGAGTAGACCAGCCCTAAAGTGTGTCCTGCAGAACCCTCCAGAATTTCTGTGGTGGGTAAGGGCCAGAGAAGGGGGTCCAGAGCATATAGAAGAGAAAGAAAGGTGAGGCGGGGGCAGTCATATCCGACCTGGATTTCTGAATCTCCCATTTACAATGCCTCTCCTGGCCCCATGGTCTGCAAATCCAGCAGTACTCTCAACATCATGGCCAAATGAGAGCCCATGACCCCAACCCATGCCTGGACACACTCAAAGGGAACACAAGTGCACACTGAGAACATGGTTTCTCCTGTCCTTGGGGGAGGGGTTTAACACAAGGCCATCAAGAGAGAGGAGAGGAGAATATGCCCTGGGCATTGAGCTTGATATCAAAGACATGAAAGTCTTCTGTGTTTACTTATGGCATGAGCCCCAGAATCTCACGTGAAGAAATTGGCTTTCTCTTTTCTGATAACTAGAAACTGCGTGTGCATGTGCGCACGTGTGTGCATGCGTGTGTGTTTTAACTCATTTCTAAAGTCAGAATGATACCAGAAGCCATTATACTACTATATACTACTATATACTATACTAATATACTACCCCAAGAGCCACAGAAAACAGATGCCAACTATTAAAAAAAAATTGAAACAAGTTGATACTTAACACAGATTTCTTATGAAATTTCTTTTTCCTGTGTAACCTGGTGTCGTGTGTGTATGTGTATGTGTATATGTCTAATATATATACAAGCGGTTTCAATTCAACAAGTCAGATTATGAGTACAGTCACCTTGATCAATATCACCCCTTCCAACATTCCCCCCCACATCACTTATATTTTATGTAGAGTGTGTAAGTATGTTGTTGTATGTTTGGTCAAACATATTTTGGGTAGATTTAGAATATAAACAAGAAAGTGAGTTAATAAGTGATCAAAATCATGGCAGCAGGCACTATGTGGGTGTAATGGTTATACCCACAGAAGTCTCTCCTTTCTCTTGGTCACTCACCCACCCCGCTCTCCACTCTCCCTCCCAGAAGTAGATGTTCACAGACCACCTAGAGGCTGATGATGTCAATGGACACTACCAGGAGCCAAGAGTTCCTCCATGACACTTCTTTCCTATGGAGTGTTATTGTTCAAAGGAAGTTTCAGACACTTGCCATTCACACAGGGAGTCAAGCGCCAGCACCCGGATGTCCCAGATGCTTCACAAACACCCTGGGCACTGATGCCTCCCAGAGATTGTCCTGACCTACTCAGGCTTCATTGTCCTGGTCTTTGTGCCTAGGTTTAGACCCAGAGGCTCCCAGCTGTTCTGCCCTGAGCTTGATTGAGGCCAGGGGCAGCAATGTAACCAGAAGTGAGTGCTGCTGGTCCTGAGGATGTGGTTACCTTCTGGAAACTGAAACACATAGCTGGTTCCCAATGCAATCACTCTGGCTGTCGCGCCTACCTTTATTCAGCCTTTGCTCATATAAAACACAACTTTATATTGTTTGCTACATCTCTCGAGATGTCTGACACACATGGTTGCCTGACACAATATGGTTGACCGGAGTCCTGGATTGCTAGTTCTAGATGTCCTGTGACAAGGTGGGTCACCTTGGTTAGGTCATATCAAGTTTCTGGGCCTCTTAAACATTGGTCTGTACAACGAAGGCAAGCCATACTGCTCACTAAGAACTATCTAACCTGGGCAAAGCATGAGTGAACCTGTATCATGAATGAAAACGTCAGTAATTCTTGCTTTGGGAAGGTCTCAAAACTCTCATTCTTACAGTAAAAACTCAAGAGCTTAGGGCATATCCACTTAGGTTACTGCTTTTCCATGACGGACCCCACAGCATTCATTAGTCTGAGTTTTAAATTTCTGTTGTTTTCCTTCTAACTTAATCACAGCTAAAAATTTTTTTTCCTTGAAAACTGCAAGACCTTTGAAGCGGCCGTGGCACTGGATTCCCGGCCAATAATCCAAAGCAACAGCTTTGTGGTTTTACGCTGCCTCCTTTACATGGGCCCTGATAGGAAAATGCCATTGGCTATTTGTTTGGTCTTTGGCTGAGAGCATTTTTAACACATAATGCAGATAACTGTGTACAGAGCCAATGAGAGCAAACGGCAGGCTGCTGAGCATGGAAGGTATGTGGCTGGGCACAAAATGCCAACCCCTGCTCTCAAGTACAAGTATCTCATTCTCCACCTTTTAAAATATTTGCCTCCTGTTTATATAGCGTCTGTGTGTTTGCGGAGCACATTCACTGGACACCTTTACACAGGCTCAGAGGGCTTCTGCGCCAGAATGAATCTAAGGGGTCATTCTAGTTCAGCAGGATCCTGGAACATTCCTGATGCGTGCTCACCTGCTCTCAAACCTCTGGAAGGAGAAGGCTTTCCTGCCTGCAGGGCCTACTTCAGCCAGCGATCAGCCCCGTGCTTAGGGAGGTATTATTCAGACAGCATTCAGCTCCCATTGCCGGAGACTTCCACATATCAAACCCAAATTGTCCATGGCTTTAACCTACAGGATGTGATGTATGAGGAGATTGCAGCTGGAATCTGCTCCGTGGACTCAAGGGGAGTGAAAAGGTGACTGCAGACCCCAGGAATCCTGTCAGCTGCTCCTTGGCTTTGAAGCTTATAGCCATCTATTCAATCACCTCAATGACACAGAGGGAGGGCTGAAGTATATTACCAGGGAAGAGACTTGTGGGATGCAGGTCACCAAAGGCAGTAGCTAGGTAAGATGTACGGTCATTGGTTAGCTCAATAAACAGCTCATGATTAAGATCTTTTATCCCAACTGAAAATACATGAGTGATTCTGACATCCAGACAAAGCAGAACCATGATTTCTGTATCATGCCATTGGGTGAACTAACTGGTATTTCCATCCTGATTACAACAGTACACATCCTAATTGTCTCTAGGAAGTAAAGAAAGCCTGTCCCAGGTTCTCCTGACTGCATGCTTATACTTTTTCCAGTATGGAATTCATGCTTATACTCTTTCAAGTATTTCTTAAAAAGGATTATTCTTTCAGAAACTTTCAATGGCTATCCATCTCATTTTGAATCATATCTCAAATCTTCAGGGATCTCTAAGTTGTCCCTCAACTCCACCGCTGCAAGAGTGTTCCTCTCCCGCCTTCCCAATCCTCTCATCCTAACTCTCTCTCCCTCTCCTTCCCCCCCTCTCCCCTCCAGCCCCTGGACTCCCTGATGTGCCCCCCCTCCTGCCCCACACCTTGCTCTGTTCTTGAGGCATGGACTTCATGGTAGCCATTTCCAAGCTTGGCTCATTCCATTCAGTCCTCTCTGAGTTCTGCTCAAAGATTAGAAATCCCTTCCATGCATAGGTGACAGAGATCAGCTTGAGCCCCTTTTCCTTTTTGTTTTGGTCAGTCATGGGCTTGAACTCAGGGCCTAGGCGCTGTCCCTGAGCTTTTTTGCTCAAGGCTAGCATTCAACCACATTGAACCACAACTCTACTTTTTGGTGTGGGGGGTGGTTAATTGAAGATAAGAATCTTAGATACTTTTCTGCTTGGCTGGCTTCGAACAGTGATCCTCAGATCTCAGTCTCCTGAATAACTAGGATTACAGGTGTGATATGAGTTAGTATAATCTCAGAAAGAACCCCCCTTTTTAAAAACTACTATGTTCCCAGTGGTGATTTTTAGGCCACTGGTACTCAAAATACATATGTAGTGCTTGAGTAAGTGGATAAAAGAAAATAGGCTACTCATTATAACATTCTTATTTGCTACCTCTTCCTAGCCTCCAAATTTAGGAGAAAGCAAGGGAGGTTTGTGGCAAAGGCTTAAGGAACAGGAATTTTCTGTCTCCTCCCTTCTTTACTCTTTGGCTGGGCCAGACTAAGGAAAAATTCTCAGCTTTTGGTCCTATGGATTATCTGAAAAAGGCTCTGTATGCATGAAGAAGGGAGCCCATAGTGTGGAGAGACACCAGCAGCTAGCAGGGTGCAAAACACGAATGGTTAGGCTCTTCATAAATTCAGAATGATTTACGATGTCCTTCTGGGCATGGCGTGCCAGCCGCAGAGCCCACATTCAGGAGAGGAGGCCGGGGCATCTGCCACTAGCTCCTTTCAGTGGATACTTGGCGTGGATTTCATATTACTCTGGAAGTATCTGCGAGAGTAAATCTTGTAGTCAACAAGTCATTTGTGTTTTC